CTGCTTCGCGTCTCGTGGGAAGGGCCAAGCAGCAGCTTACGCGAGCCAGACGTGCTGCTGCAGTAACGTGCTGCTGACGGCTCCCGTGGAAACCCGGGGTAAGCCGAGACAACCTCACCAGGGAGGCGTCCAGGAGGCATCCTGACCAGATGACCGAGCCACCTCAACTGGCTCCTCTCGATGTAGAGGAGCAGCGGGTCTACTCCGAGCCCCTCCCCGATGACCGAGCTTCTCACCCTATCTCTAAGGGAGAGCCCAGCCACCCTGCAGAGAAAACTGATTTCGACTGCTTGTATCCGCGATCTCGTTCTTTTGGTCATTACCGAAAGCTCGTGACCATAGGTGAGGGTAGGAACGAAGATCGACCGGTAAATCGAGAGCTTTGCCTTCGGGCTCAGCTCTCTTCACCACGACAGACCAGTACAACGCCCACATCACCGCAGACGCAGCACCAATCCACCTATCGATCTCACATCACTGGCTATTATTTACTCATTGGCAGATTTCTCTTTTTCTACTCAAAACATGAAAATTTTTAACATATTTAAGAATATTTACCTCATTTCAAGTAGAGCTATTTTTGCAAATAGGACTTTTTTTTTCTTTTTTAGACTAAAAATAAGACGAAAGTATGGAATAAAGGCTTTTTGTATTCTCTAAAGAATTTATTTTTGCAGTGTAGGAGTACTTCCTGCCTGTGTTGGCTACTCTACATTGGCTTCCAGTACAGAGCTTGGCTAGTTTTCAAATTTCTGTGAATGTTTTTAAATCACTCCAGGGCATATGCTCCTTTGTACCTAACCGACCAGTTGCACAACCCTGCTGAAAAACCCGGCATAGTTCTGCTGGTCCACCAGCACCAAACCAGAACATATGCTGGTGACACCTATGCAGTATGTCTCAATATAATCTCTTTGGCCAGAAGAACAAGGTCTGAGTGTAAAACAGGAGGTGATGGAGCTTTCTCAGTCATGGCCACTCTTCTCTGGAATAGAAGTGTCAAGTGTGCGACAAGCTCCTTCATTACAGAATAAAATCTCAGTGTTGATCATCAGCCTTTCATTTTGATGTGTCATGATGAGTTTCCCACTTCTCATAGTAAGTACGTAAGTAACTTTATTTGTATAGCACCTCTCACAGACAAAAAGGTCACAAAGTGCTTCACAAGTTAAAAGGCAACAACATGTAAATACAGTAAAATACAGCCACAATATACATAGTGTCAAGTACAACCAATCCGAATGAGACTAAGTTTAAGAGAAACAAATGGGTTTTAAGATTGCTCTTAAAAACATCAACTGAGTCGATTGAGCGTAAAGACAGAGGTAGCTCATTCCAGAGCCTAGGAGCGACGGCCTGGAATGAGCGATCTCCTCGTGTCCTGAACTGAGTACGTGGGACCATTAAAAGGTTTTGATCCAATGATCTCAGCCTGCGAGAAGGCGTGTAAGGGCAGAGCATGTCTCGAACATACAATGGAGCCAGACCATGCAGCGCTCTGAAAGTCAGCACAAGAATTTTAAAATTGATGCAAAATGAGATTGGAAGCCAATGAAGAGCTTTTAAAATGGGGGTAATGTGGGCCCTTCCGTTGTCACGGGTCAGAATTCTAGCTGCACAATTCTGGACTTGTTGTAAGCGGGACAGCTCTTTTTTGTTTAGACAAGAAAATAAACTATTACAGTAGTCTAAACGGGATGATGTAAACGCATGAATAATCAACTCAAGATCAATTTTAGACACCATTGTTCTGAGTTTAGAAATTTGTCTCAAGTGGTAAAAACAGTTTCTAGTTAACTGCTTTGAGTGATGTTCAAGAGACATTCCCTTGTCAAAGAAAACTCCAAGGTTTCTAAGGGTAGGTTTTACAGACAAACTCAGATCACCTAACTGCTGGTGAATCCCTGGAACAGCATTATCGGGGGCAATCACCTGTACTTCAGTTTTGTCTGAGTTCAGCCGTAAGGCATTTGCACCGAGCCACTGTTTGATTCGCTCAAAACATGATAATAAAGAATGCAATTTTTTAACGTCAGAAGGCTTGAAAGAACAATACAGCTGAAGATCATCAGCAAAGAGATGATAGGAAACATCATCGGCAAACTCCTGGATTAGGTTTCCTAAAGGAAGGATGTACAAATATTTGCCTGTTTAATTGTTATTTTTACTTTAAAGTTTCACGTCTAATGCTTTTGTGATTAGTTTGATCTTTTTTATGCACATGTGCTCTTAGCTTGTCTATTCAGCGCTTTTGGGACCCTTTGCAGATGTAAAGCAGTGCTATGTAAATAAAGACGACGATGATGATATCTAACTTTTTCATCTCTAATATGCAAGCATGCATCAGTGCAATCTTACCATCCTTTGGACGACACTTTTCCCTTGCCTGTGGGTTGCCCACATACCCAGGAGCACACCTGAAGAACATTTATATATTAAAAAAAATAATAAACCACAATGACGATTTAACCTGGGAACATTTCTAAGAATCAATGTTGATAACTTGAACTTTTCCCTAAAGAGTAAGAACAGTCCCAGAGCTGCCTTACCGTTCACAGTACTGTCCGGTGTAGCCAGGCTGGCAGGCGGTGCACTGGTAGTCTCCGTTACCGAGGCTCTCACAGGTAGGGGAGAACCTGGGGTACGGAGGACAAACGTGAGTCCAGCTCAAAGATTCAACTAAGGGTTTATAAATATCAGAGATCTCAAACTTCTGTCCTCGAGTGCCACCATTCAGTGTGTTTTAGATGTTTTCCTGCTTCACCACACCTGATTTTAGTCAGCAGGTATTTCAACCGTTGAATTTAGTGCATAGGAATGGGGAAACAACAAAAACATGCTGGGTAGTGGCCTTGTTGACCGGCATATGGGGCCCCTGAATCAAATGTTTTTCTATTGAATGTGATGATGTCCAACAGCTTAACACCACTCAAGCACTCAAATTAGGTTTGGAAATGTGGTATATTTTTTTTCCGGTACAACAAAGTTTTTGTTTCAGTGTTTAATTACATGAAGACATTTTTTTAGATGTGTTCTGTTTTATGGAGGAATGTTTAAGAGTGTACTCTTAAATACTCGTTGACTTTTTGATGGTATTTGGTAAAATGTTTTTGACAATGCCCGCTCACCACAGCCATGGAATACACCTCGTCAACACACAACACCATAATGGAGCAGGCGGAGGGAGACTAGGGGTCTTAGCACACCTCTGTTGTCGCTTGGCTTCCTGGGGCTGGAGGCTAGGAGGGAGATCTGGCCGTCCGGTTGGGGTCTGGGGTGGTGGGTTGCAGTGATCAGCGTTAGGCGGGGGAGCCTGCTCATCAGCACCCCAGCAGAAAGGGTCGAACTCTGGGAACCGGTGATGGTTGTACCCCATGTGCAGCAGTACCGGTACCAGAGTGAATAGGGTGTGTATGGGGAGCATGAGTGGGTGTGCTGCGTGCATTTTTGTAAGTCGTTGGTTGTATGTGTATGTGTGAGCATGAGGGAGGGAGTGTGTGACTGTGTTTGTGTATGACTGTATATGTCAGGTGGGGCCTTTGACTCCTCCCTTCTCCTGGGACTTCTTTTAATGATATAGATATTCATCTCCCCTCTCCCTGCCACACCTGGTGTGGAGTGTGCTGTCTGCCTGAGTGTTCGTGGCTCCCGGGTCAGGGGGTTTAAGATTTTTGGCATCTGCCTGATCAATCCCGGTGGCTGCCTGGTGGGGTCTGGGTCCCCAGCGGAGTTGGTCGCCCCTGGGTCCCTGGTCGCTGGGTCCCGGGCTCGGCCGGCTAGGGGGTGGGAGGCTGCGGGCGGGCTTGCGGGATTGCCGCTGATATCTCCCGGACTCTGCCGGCTGCTGGTTGTGGCCCCCCGGGGCAATCCTCTGTGCCTCTCGAGGGGGGCGGGGGCCTTCCTGGTTGCAGTCTCCTTGGGGTTCCTGCGTTCTGGGGCAGCGCCTGGATCTCTGGGACTTGGAGCTCCCCCCGTCTCCTACACATCTTTGGGGGGCGGATCTGTGGTCCCTCACACTCTCTATTGGACGCTCCTAAAGATAAACTTTACATAAACAAGCGCGTGTACACACACAGGTGCTCACATGGTGCTCTCAAAAGTATGGACTTGGGCACATTCAACACATGTCTTAAGGCTGTCGTTGCCACTAAATGCACTGTGATTTATTATCGTGTGACTATTCAGTTAAACAATGTTGATTTTATATTTCATCATCAGGTTGACGCAGTGATAGCTTGCTCCTGATGTGTTGTTGTGTGTCCCATTTTTTTCTGCTCTTCTCTTTCTGCAGGTCTAGAAGCAGACTCTTGTTCATTATTGTGTATTTTTGTGGAAACCACCCCCAACCTTTTCCCCCCTCTCTCCCCACCTTTTGTCTCTTCCTTTTTCTTTCACCTCTGACTCCGTGTCTGGTCGGAATTAAGAAGCATTCAAGAACAATAACAATAAAGTTTTAAGTATCAGGCGTGACATTAAAAGCAGACGCTTTGATGCTCCACCTGAGAGTAAATCTGTAAGGCTTGTCACCAGCATTCAGACATCAATTCTGCTTGCTTCACAGCCAGACAGGACACGGGGGAAAAAAATAAAAATGTTTTTGTTAATGTAGAAAGGAAGGCTTATTTGTAAAGTTTCATCATCATTTGTGTTGTGGAGAGCTGGGGTCTAACTTCTGCAGTCAGAGGGCAGGAGGAGGGGACACCCTGGACAGGTCTCTAGTCCATCTCAGGGACAAAGAAAGACAAACACCCAGATACACACATCCACACCTAAAGACAATTAAGAGTCTCCAACCAACATTTGATGCATGTTTTTGGTCTGTGGAAGAAACTGAAACATTGCAGGGATTTGAACCTGCAACCTTGTCCCTGTCAGACAGCAGCCTTCTTTTTGCACCTTATAAATGTAAATAAATTTCAAATGTTGCACTAAAACTAAGAACCGTGCACGTTCTTCAGATGGTGAGAAAACAAGGGTCCAAAGTCTATAAATGAAAGGACCGAGAGGTGGGATGTGAGATCTTGTGTGTGTGTGTGTGTGTGTGTGTGTGTGTGTGTGTGTGTGTGTGTGTGTGTGTGTGTGTGTGTGTGTGTGTGTGTGTGTGTGCCAGGACTTACTGGTTGTCTGGGTCAGTGTGAGGACAGGAGCATGGCTGGCAGTCCTCTGGAGTGCCAGCAGTTGGGTCGCCAAAGAAGCCTGGAGCACACTGGTCACACAGCTCACCCTCAGTGTTGTGCAGGCAGCTCTGCAAACACACACACACACACACACACACACACACACACACACACACACACACACACACACACACACACACACACACACACACACACACACACACACACACACACACACACACTTGCTTTATTTGCCCAACTGTTCATCTCAGAGTAGGTCTGTGTCCTACAGATCTGTATCAGTCATGTGCTTGTCCCCAGATCCGTACCGTACAGATGCCAACTTCAGGATGGCATGAGTCGGAGTGGCCGTTGCACTCACACAGCTCACAGTGGCCCAGATATAAACCTCCACCTGTGCGAGTGTATCCTGGTGCACAATCCTAAAACACACACACATGCAAGGCAAGATCATTTTTAAAACCTCCCAAAGTACGGTTGTTTTACGTATAACATTACAAATAGCATGTTTTAGTTATAATGACCTGGCAGGAGAGTCCCTGGTACCCAGGTGGACAGCGGCACTGCTCCACCTCGAGGGCCTGTGCCAGGCCGCTGTAGTTTGGCACAGCAATGTCCATGCTGATGTCAGAGATGCTAGATGAGATCATCTCTGTGGAGTAGGATGCTTGGATCAGGATATCGTCAAGGTCAGCCAGAACCATCATCAGGTGCTCTCGGTTGGCCGGCATGCCATCAGGTCGCTTCCAATATTCCTATGAAGCACAAACAAACCTTCACCAAGAGTTATCATCCTCCTCCCAACATTTACTTTAACTGTTCCGCTTCTACCATAACCTTCTGTTTGAATCAAGATGATATTTTTGATGTTATTTACTTTCTGGAATAAAATATAGTTAGAAAAATCCACTTGTCCTACAGTTTATTTTAAAAGAGCAGCAGTATTTAATGATGACCAGGTGCTCACCTCCCTGAAGATGATCTCAAACTGTTTGCTCTCTCTGCTGCCCTGCTGCCTCCTTTGCCAGGTCTGACGAGCGACCAGGGTGATGTCGTTACCCTGCGGAAACACAGGCCGATGAGTAAATCCAGCAGATGCACGGAGTGTTGACAGAAAACAGCACACCGGCTGGAAGGCAAACTCACAATAATCTGGACATCAGCCTCTTCTAGGAGCGTTCCTCTTGGACCAGCCACATAGGAGATGGTGTATTTAAGTTTACCACCATAAGAACCCACCTGGAGGATGAAAAGTGTAGTTAGCACTTGTGCAAAATCAACTAAATAAGAGCTTGACTGTACACTAACATTTATACACTTAAAATGGCAAATGAACCTAAAACAGTAACTAGTGAAGAGTGTGATGTTTTTTGGATGGTTTTGAGCATGCACAACGGTGGCGTAACCGGGCCTTGCTCACCTTAAATGCTCACCGTTCTGTAGGCCTGGGGCTAGAAACCAATGCTAAAGGTACATGTTGCCACTACAGTTTTGGGGTTTATATCCAAGTTTTGTCGACAATGTAAAGTCAATTTAAATGGAACTGAAGGGGGTGGCTCCTGGCGTGGCCAGTCACATGTTAAGGGTGGCATGTGCTACCCCAGGCCTTTCCCTGGACACCCCTCTGAATCACAACAGTTTTTTGGGGAGGTCGAGGTGTCCGGGGTAGCGTATCACAGTAATGGGGACCTGCGCCAGCTGACGGGTCTTAGAAGCTGAACAGGCCAAGATCATTTTCAAAAATAATTAAAAGTGGTTTCTCAGTGAAGGACTTCTTTAACTCATTCACTGCCATTGACGACTAAAGCCGGGCGGACACTGTGCGACTTTTTCACTCGTAGCACTCATCTTCAGCTCAAACTGTACGACTTCCTCGCAGGGCAGATCTCACGAGTCATGCGCTCACACTGCACGACCCAGTTCTCGGATGCGACCTGACTGCTCACGCTGTACGTCTGGTAGCAACACGTCGGACCTAAAAATATGCTAAAAATAGCCGTTTTTACTCAACACGTTAGACGTTTTTGTCTTGTTTTGCCTGTTGTCCTTCGGGAGTGCTGCAGGAGGACACACGGGGATTTATGGGGGTTGGATGAGGAAAACGAAATAAAGAAAGTAAATCTGTGTTTTGTGATCAGTTTAATTTGACATGAACACGACAAACACGCTTTCTTGACAATCTTTGTGAGTAAAAAAAACGTGTAGAAATAAAAACGAACAGCATGTGTTATTAGGGAAATAGCGAGCGAGCGGCGTTGATGCAGGATTGCGCATGCGCCGTGAGCGGTTCTGATACATTTTGGGTCGCAGCTGCTCGCAGCGCCGCTTCAACAGTGCGATACCCTCACGAGGGACGAGCGAAATATTAAACACTCCAGAAGTCTGTGCGACCTCACGACTGCTGATCGGCAGCTGGTCACGTGGTGTTAATCGCCTCTCGTAACCCCCTGTACACTACACGACCGCTCGGCGCAAAACTCGCCCCGATGTCGTGGATTCTCGCACGACTGGAAAATCGGCTCAAAAAAGTGAAAAAGTCGCACAGTGTACGCCCGGCTTAAAGTCGTCATTTTAGATCCAACCGTTCACTGCCGTTGACGACTAAAGTCGTCATTTGCATGTTTTTACTGTGTGGGCATCGGAACGAGCCCCGGCGCCGAGAGAACAAACATCTCAGCTCTGACGCCGACCTACACTCCGCACACGTCATGTGATCAGGAAGCAGAAAATCCATGTGTTAGGAGATCGTTTTGGGCCGTTCCTGTAAAAAAGTGAGGCGCGAACCGGAAAAGCGTCTGCCGATCACAACTCGACAACCGATTATGAAAGAACGGATAATGCTCGAAACACGCGGATGTAAGAGGTGAGTCTCCTCTTTGTTTTGATTGTTTTGGCGTCGACATCATCCTAGAGCGCAACGGTAAAAACGGTGAGAAACGCTGTCAGCGAAGGGCTTTACCGATCAGGAAACGGACGGCAGCGAATGAGTTAACAAATCTCAGAAACATTTTAGTAGACACACGTCTACGACTGATTTAACTTTTACAGTAAACTTGTTTTGAAGTTCTAAAAATATGATGAAAGTTTTTTATGATGTTGACCGCTTTAGACCATCTTTTGATTTTGTTGTTATTGTAGCTGTTAGCAAAACGCAGCTAGATAAAATCTGCCACCACATAGTGAGCAGAGATCAGCTGCAAGCAACAGATGTGTGTCCTTGACGGCATCAGGAAGGTCTGGACGTTACTAATAAAGGTACAGGAACACTTGATGCATCTCCAGAGTTTCTTGTCCCTCGCTGCCTAAAGCAGCAATCTGAATGTTTATGTCAGAGGGAATCATCTAAAGGTGGAGAAAAGGTATTGGTTTCTAGCTTTAACATTACATTGATCAAAATGACATCTGCTCAGCAGCATCTGAATGCTTTTATGAGTACAAGGAAACTGTGTCAGACCTGCCCTGCATGTAGTCCAGGTGTCAGTATTGGTACATCCTAAATCAATTCAATTAAAATATTACACACAATTCTGGAAGCAGAGATGTATTACTGAATTATTCTACTAATTTCTGTTAGTCTGAATAAGACATATGCTGTATTATAAGAGCACGACAAGCAGACATTATCAGAGACTGGAATCTAGTTTTTGACAGGGTATCTGCAGGTTTACGGGAGCCAATTTTAAGACTTTTTAAGACCTTTTTTAAGGCCTCTTTGACCAAATTTAAGCTATTTTTAAAATTAAATTTAAGCTATAATTTCCAGCTATTGCCTGGAACCGGTGCTAACCTATGTCGCAAGGATTAGCCATCCAGTTACCATTAAACTTGCACTTCCCCATGGCACAAGCTCCCACTAGCTTAACCAGCTAATGTGCTCATCTAAAAATAGCCCCCTTTCACAACCAACTGAATGTGTACGGTTCCGCTTTTGCCAACATCGTACACAAAAAGCGCTGAACACCAACTAGAAATTCAGGAAAATTTTATAGAAATAAAAGAATCTTGTTTATTAGGTCTTTGGTAATTTAAGACCTTTGAAAGCTGTATTTAAGGATTATTTGTCATTTTTAAGGATTTTTAAGACCTTAAATTTGGGAAAGCTAATTTAAGACTTTTTAAGACTTTTTAAGGACCCGCGGATACCCTGTTTTGAGGGAAGGGATGCTTTTTTCTAACTTAACACGGCCTGGCAGATTCAAAACACTAACTATCAGAACTTCCAGGCAATCTAAGGACATTGCACCCCTTCCTTAGTGGAGACCTCCAGAGACTGTGCTGACTGCTCCAGTCAGAACTCTGACTGACCCATGGGGGTGTGCTATGAAGCTTGGTAGTGATTGTTAACCCTAACATTACTGAGCAGAAATTTAGGGACATACTTGGATGGATGATAATTCAGGATGAATGAGCAGTTGACGATGGACTAAACCAGGCTTTATTTTTACCTTTTCCCCTGTGAACTGGCCAGGGAGCTGCCAGTAGAGCACATCATCCTGCTGTGTGTTGAAACCTTTGTAGACCAGAGCGTACTGAGAGGTGATAGATGCGTGGGAGAATGAGCAACAGACGGAAGCAGGAAGGATACATTGTAAGCGGATAGATGAGCAAACAGGAAGCATAGCATAGAAGAGCAAGGAATTGTACATAAAAATACATTATTCAACAACATGCTCTCTGCTACAGCCTCTCCCTTAACGTCCCACTAAAAGTGATTAGTAAAACAAATCCGATGTGAAAAAATAAAAAGGCAGCCTTCAAGCAGGTCACAGAACGCACGTCACAGAATTGTCTTCTTGACCCATACCGATGTGGGTTCAAAAATGGCCACTCCACTGAAACAGCTCTGTTAGCAGTGACAGTTCGAAACTTGGGAGCTGTAATTGATGACCCGCTGACCTTTAAAGATCACATTGCCTTTGCTGCTCGTTCATGTCGTTTCACGCTGTGTAACATACAAAAGAGCAGACCATATCTAACACAACATGCCACCCAGCTCCTGATGCAACCTACTGCCATCTCCCGCCTCGACCACTGCAATGCCTATTTAAATGGTCTTCCAGGCTGTACTGTGAGACCTCTTTAAATGGTCCAGAATGCAGCAGCACATCTGGTCTTCAACCAGCCTTAAAGAGCACACGTCACCCCTTTGCTCACTGAGCTCCATTGGTTACCGTTAGCAGCACGCATCAAGTTCAAATTGCTAATGGTGGCGTACAAAGTCCTGGATGGTAAAGCTCCCATCTACCTGAAACCTCTTGTAAAGGCTTACGTCATGGCTCAGCCACTCTGGTCATCAAAGGATAGTCAGCTAGCTGTGCCTACACCACGCCTTGGACAATCCAAACTCTTCATGTGTTGTTCCACGGATGTGGACATTGAGTTTGAATGGATCCTGTTCCGTGCCTCCATTGTTGAAGCGGCCGACCAGAGCTGTGGCCGCAAGGTCGTCTGTGCCTTTTACGGAGGCAACCCTTGAACCCGCTGGTGGTTAGGGATGCTGTCAAGCTGAAAAAAGAGTCCTATCAGGTCTTTTTGGCCTTTGGGACTCCAGAGGCAGCTGATTAGTACCGGCAGTCCAAGAGGAATGCAGCTCAGGTAGTTGTGGAGTCAAAAACCCCATGTGGGAGGAGTTCAGTGAGACCACGGAGCAAGACTTCTGCACGGCTTTGAGGAGATTCTGGTCCACCATCCAGCGCCTCATGAGGGGAAAGCAGTGCGCTATCAACACTGTTTATAGTGGGGACGGTGTGCTGGTGACCTGTACGCTGGACGTTGTGGATCTGTGGGTAGAATACTTCAAAGACCTTCTCAATCCCACCGGCACATCTTCCAGTGAGGAAGTGGATCCTGGAGACTTTGGGTTGGACTCTACAATCTCTGGTGCTGAGGTCACTGAGGTTGTCAAAAAGCTCCTTGATGCTCTGGATGTCGTAGCGCTGTGTTGGCTGATGTGACTCTGCAATATCATATGGACATCAAGGGCAGTTCCACTGGACTGGCAAACTGGTTAAGGGGCGGGGGGGGGGGGGGGGTCCTCCTATTTAAAAAGGGGGCCGCATGATTTGTTTCAACTACAGGGTTATCATAACCTTGAACCTTCCTGTTATCCTCTATTCAGGGGTTCTGGAGAGGAGGGTCCGTTGGATTGTCGAACCTCGGATTCTGGAGGAGCAATGCGGTTTTCTTAATGGCCGTGGAACACTGGACCAGCTCTATACCCTTAGGGGGTCCTGAAGGGTGCATGGGAGTCCGACCAATCTACACGTGTCTTGTGGATTTGGACAAGGCGTTCAATCGCATTCCATGGGGGGACCTGTGGGGGTACTCCGGCAGTATGGGGTACCAGGCTCTCTGATATGGACTGTTAGGTCCGTGTATGATCGTGTCAGAGCTGGGTCCGTATTGCCCGCAGTAAGTCGGTCTTGTTTCCTGTGAGAGTTGGACTCTGCCAAGGCTGCCCTTTGTCACAGATTCTGTTCATAACTTTTTAGACAGGACATCTAGGTGCAGCCAAGCTGTTGAGGGGATCTGTTTTGGTGGCCTGAGGATCGGGTCTCTCCAATGCAGACAAAGCTCTGGCACAGATCGTACAGGGACCTAACAGTGAAGTCCCATGCGTCCTAAAGACCTATGACTTAATACCTTAAGTGCTGTTCTATGATTAGCACCCTGTGAACTGTTGGGTTGAAAAATGAAGAGCTGGCTTTAGAGTGATTTTTGTGTGTCCAACCATCTCTAATACCTACTAGAGGACAGACAAGGGAGGAGTGGAATCAGCTGTCTTACTTTACTGCCTAAAGTTTTTCAAAAAGAAAACAGCCATGAAAATCGATGACACAAGTATGCACTTGTAATGCAATCTTGTAGTATTTTGACCAGGATTCAAACATTCCCTCTAGGTGATTTAACTGTCAAAAAAAAAATGCACTAATAGGTCACATATTTTTTAACATGAACAGGCAAAAAGCAAAATCATGAAGTACTTCACTTAGCCGTGCTAATGTCTACCTTGCTGCTGCTCCCAGAAGTGCTGGGAGTCTTGTTCTTGCTCTGTTGATCCACGACAGAAACATATTCCAGAAAGCAACAACAACAACAGCAAAAAGTTAGAAATATGAGTAAGAAATATATATTTTTTAATATCGTACATGTCCCAACCCATGCAGACTCCAACAGAGAGTACCTTAGGACGGGGAGCATGACCTGGGGAGTAAGGTTGAGGTCGAGTTGGTTTAACAGAAGAAGAGATGTCAAATGGAAGGGAGGGGGGGCTGAAGTTATGTAAAGACCAGTGAAAGGAAGAGGAAGTTGGGTGTCGGGAAGAGGTTTTAGAGGAGGAGTAGAATGGAGAGGAACCAACTTGACCATAGGAGAAATTAGACAGGAGTGCCCAGACCTCGGCATCCAGCTTTCTGACATCAGCCTGGGAGGTAGGGTCAATCAGAGACACAGAGGACAGGTATGGGAACATTAATGATGAAGGTGGAGGTGGAGAGCTTAGTTGTTCTACAGATTACAGCCCAATCCTGGTCCTGGAGGGTCCAGCAAGTTTAAGTGGTTTCTCTGCCCCTTGATGCAAAGGTTGAATCACCTGCACAGCAGCTCATCAGGCTCTGCAGAAGCCTGTTAATCACCTGCTGGTTGAAATCAGGTGTGTTGAAAAAGAATTAAAACTAAAACGTGCTGGATACCGGACCTCCAGGACCAGCATTGGACACCCCTGCTCTACTTGATGGGGATGTTTTATCATGCAACTCAACCTTAAATTTTCTACTGAATTTGAATCTTCTCACACCCATTATCAATGTGTTGCATTTGGGGAAATTTAGAATTTGCATCGCATGCTAAACTCTTTTTTAAAGTCAAACACATGCAGTCAGAATAAGTAAAGTTAAATCGAAGTGGGCAAAATATCAAATAGACCCAATATATCGAGCATTGTTCCTTGGGTTTGAATGCTCGGTTAAATAAATAGGACAGCTGTAAGTTCAGGAAAGTCCTAGAATGGCCGAAGCGCTCTAGGGCGGGTGGGGTGTGCTTCAGGCTGGTTCACGTTTCCTTCTTTGCAATCTGATCTGCATGTCTTCCCATACATGCTCATATGATCACAGCCAATTCACTTCTCATTCAGACAATTTATTATATTAAAAATTATTTTCAGGACTTGTGCCCCTATATAAAATAGCTGTCAGCCACTGTACGTTGCTCAGCTGTGTCCCGGATTGAAATACCAAAGAATTTGTTCAACATAGTTGTTACAGAGAAGTCTAAAACCTAATGATTTTATTTAAAGAACGTAAATATAGTCAAATGATTTTGTTTAATGTTAAATTAGAATGTGTTGAAAAATACACTTTTACACAGTAACAAGTCAGGACACGCAGAGCAGAATGCCTGGTTGCATGTTTGACTTTTCTTCCTCTCTTTCTACTGGAGGACTGAGACATGCCATTGGCTGGACTCAGTAAAGACTGATTATGTTATCAGAAATCCAGCCTTCTTCAGTCATTTGCACAAAGCTGTCAAATGTTATGAATGTTATGATCAAATGGACATAACATTTTGAAAACTATTTGAAAAAATACCTCAATATCGCAGTATGCTGCATAGTGTTGGAACCCTATTGTATTCTAAAAATTGATGTCAGGCTATATTGCCTGGCCCTAATCAGCACATCTAACCTTTCTGAGTTAGCGGAAAGAGGGTTTCGACATACCAGGGATGTGTATTTTTGAAATTCTGGCGATACGATACATATCACGATACAGGGGAGACGATACGATATATCACGTTATATTGCGATACATTCAGTCAGACGTTACAAGCAATTTTTTTGCTGAATTTATTGTAAGAATGTTCAATTAACAGTCAAATCTGATACGTAACATGTTTAACATGAGGTATCTGAACCGTGATGGAGGGATTTACATTTCAATGGTGGAAACAAAACCCGTCGCACACTGCTGCCAACTAGCGGGTGGCGATTGAATTGCGCAAAACGAAAAGAAAATACACAAATGTTTGCATGTAAATTCTTTCAAGAATTAGATACATGGCTTTTGAATATCGATGTAATAATCACAGGAAAAAAATCACGATATATTGCCATATAGATATTTTCTTACATCCCTACAACATACCCTACAATGCACTGATAACTGACTGGCTCTTTTGGATTGTTGAATATTTTTCTTTGGTGGCCATTAGATGCCAAATGTAAGCATCCTTCCTTAGGTGCTCCTCTTCCAAGTACAACTCACTCTATTGATGTGCATTAGGAAACCCTCGGATCACTTTCCTTTTCATTGAGCTTGATGAATTTTGCAGGTGTTGTGGCAGTGTTACCGAGGCATTGTTCAACATCACGAAGCTCTCGAACCCTCAATGATCAATCTGGCTCATGGGACACAAGGCCAAAAACAAGTCCTGTGCTGGCTATGCAATCTAAGAAACACTCACAAGTCATCTTTAGACACACTGTAGTAAAATAACATGCTGCTGATTAAAACTATCAGTCAGGGTCGAGATTTCTCATCCACAAACACGGACATGCATTGAATAATAAATGCTAATTATTCCAATCAGTGTTTCATCTGTAAACTAATTTAAACAACTATTCAAAGCAGGCAACACAACACTGCTTATGGCGTCATCATCAAACTTTAACAATGGAACGACATCCATTTAAAAACTTCACTATACCTGATGTGCTCTTTTCACACGAGCATTGTTAGAGTCTTTCTATTGAGAATGGAGGGAAGGGCAAACAAAAAATAAAGAGTAGCATAAAAAAACAACATGAATCCTGTTGTAACGCCACAGAATAAAAAAAATGACACAGAAGAAAGGGCGAAGAAACAGCACAGAGATTGAAAAAGCTATCTGAATACAAGTTTGTAAGGTTTCAAAAAGCAACATCAAAAAGAAAGCAGTGGAAGAAAAGCGGTCTACAAGTTTTCAATGTGCTCCACATTAAACAGCTGCATGGCTGTTCTTATAACAACCTAGCTAAAGTCACTGATCTGAGTCCTGTAGTTTACTGGTGGATACTGACCTTATCTCCCTGGTAAACCTCTGGAAGCTGCCAGTAGTGAGGACCTTGTCCTAGGTTGTCAAAGTTGCTGTAGGACAGCTGAGTGCCAACAGTGGAAATCTCCACGGTGAAGCCAGTAGAAACACGACTGGTTCGTTGGCGGTTCACCAGACCAAAATCCTGGAAGTTTCTTGGAGAAAAAGCTGTGGAGACCTGCAGAAATAAACCCACAATTAGCTGCGGAATGTGTCAAACCATGAAAACTTGGAACGTAAATAAATGTGGTAGTTGCTCTGATCAGCTGTTTGCTTTTCCCTAAATGTGACTGTTTGCATTGTGGCTATCTACTGTTTTCAACTGTGACATTTTGTGGTTGCTGGCAAAAAGTTTTAAAAATCCTACCTGGTCTCTGTAGTATGAAGAGCTGGAACACTGCTGAGTGACACCCATACAGAAGCAGGACAAGCAGCCATCTTTGTTTTCCTGGCTCAGATGGAAAGTTCCAGGCTTACAGCCGGAACAAGATCGGCCCTCAACATTCATCTGTAAAAATTACAGTCAGTCATTTATTTCTAGAAAACCCAAGAGACAAAGTTGGCATTAAGAAATGCGTTAGATTACCTTGCATTGACACGCACCACCCTGGCAGCTTTCACTTCCCGTTTGGTCACAGTTATAACAGTTACCTGTAACAAGGCCACTGATCAGAAGGGCTAATGTTCATTCTCACTTTGATAAATTAAGAATATTTACATCAATGAACACACTGCAGCTCCCAACGCAGAAAACAGAAAACATGTAATTTTCCAAGCTAAAGCACGAGGTTTACCGTTGACTTCATTGCCAATTACACATCTCTCTCCAAACTGTGGGTTGCCAACATATCCAGGAGCACATCTAAAAAAGAAAAATAGACAATTTGTTGAAGCTAATACTTCCACTGAAGATCAATACTAGTTTCATTCCAAAGAACAATGACACAAGACTCCAGGAAGTCTGTTAAAAGTCACAAATCAGATGAAATTAGTCCTCGGGGTCTAGGAAATGCTTCGGGTTTTTACTGGATTTAATCCAGTATATGTACATCTCTATTCTGGACACTGGATTTACATTTGTACCATGTAAAAAGACACTTGTATTATATTTTAATAACATTTCAGGTCAGAATAAATACATCAACACTGCCTGCGCTGGAGATGGATGAAGCTTTGCTGCTGCTAAAAACATTCAACATGTCTCAGATGTTGATTCCATCTCTCATGAGCTGAAACAAGAAAAATGCACCTCCGCAAAACTAACAGTTATCATAATTTATCCTGTTTAACCCTAACACCCCCCAGCTGGGGGCCTCTACACTTACATGTCCCAAACATCTACAACTGTCCACATTCTCCAAACACAACTAAAACCACAATCAAACAGCCCAGATGGGAAACAAGACCATTTTTAATTGTAATAAATTAAGATACAATGATGTTTTAACTTTATTTTAGAAGAGCATCTGACCTTCTCTGGTGTCTGCTGGAAAAAAAAAACCTTGAACAAATTTAGCTGAGGACCCCTGGAATAAATAAAACAATTGACTAAATTTCCCTAAATAGAATTTGATCATACCACCTCCAGCCTGTTAGCACTTTCACACAGGACAGCTCTTCTAAAATAAAGTTCAAGTATTATTTTATCTTAATGTATCAAAAACCACAAGTTGCTTTGTTTATAATCTAAAATTGGTTTGATTGTAGCTGTAGCCGTGCTCGGGGAATGCAAACCATCACTGACACTTGGGACATGAAACGCCAAAGGCCCCCAGTTGGGAGGCGCCAGGGCCCAAAGAAAAAAGGCCTAGGGCCTAAAGGGGGAAACTAACATGAGAACTAAAAATTACAAAGAAAGAAATGGCACAGAAGTGAGGGAAGTTGGCACGATGAGCTGTAGACGAAGATGCTAAGGAGCAAAGTTAAAAACTTGATACAATGACATAAAAAAACTACGCACCAGCAACCCAAGCACACAATGCTGCCACCAAAACAACTGTAAGCCCAAATCCACGGTCCTACAGAACGTAAACGTCGTTCTTACCTCACCTGGACTCTGGCAGGCCCACAGGTCAACAGCCAACATAGATGACTTCCTGCCATCATCTTGCTTTGGGAAACTCCTTTCAAACTATCTCTAGAGGCGCCAACTAACGTGTGGCTACCTCCGCTTTTCTGATAAATGTTCATTTGAAATTCAAAAAAAATCTATTCCAAGAAGAGCATAAGTGACACAAACATGATAAAAATGTTAAAACTTCAGTCCACCAGCCCTAATCTAACACTAATGCTCCATTTTTTAATCTTCGACGGACCTAAGAGACGGAGAGAACTAGGCACACTCACGATTCCACGAGGTGATTCATACACAAATCAAGGCGGGAAACAAAATATTTGAAGGGATCTGTGAGTAACCTTTATCAGAGCTGCATTTTGAATAACAAATCCTATAAGAATGAAGGAATCTGCACCGTGATACAGGCACACACATGCAGATGAAACTTCTGGGATTGTCCTAAAAATAATATTGGCTGTACTGACATTTGGTTTGAAGCTGTAAATGTCAGCTTTTGATAGCGCTGGAGGAAAAGTCAGGGGGTCACACATATCAGGAGGTGTCTTTCTGGAAGGAACGTGAATATCACAGAAAAATAATAAAACTGACAGAACAACGTTACGAAAACGTTTTCCACATTGCAGGTTGCAGAGCTTGAACTGGTGTTAGATCTGATTCTTTTTGGGGAAAAAGATTGAATTATGTTTGGTTTTAGTCGTTCACAAAGTTAAAGTAGCTTTCCGGAGTTTTCTACTTTCAGAAATTATGGTATTTCAGAAATCTGTAAAAATTATTATCTTATCATGTACTGTGATATAATGTAAGCAAAAAGCAGGGGCGGATTTAGGACTGAAGAAGATCCGGGGCTTAACGCGCGCACACATGTGACACGCACTAGTCAACATCATATATATATATATATATATATATATATATATATATATATATATATATATATATATATATATATATATCTTGTACCACATAATTTTTAATCTGAAGCTACATATTCAGCATTTTCAGGGCAGAGTATTATTCCTGTTAGTGTTTAGTGTGAGATGATAGTAAATATTCCCTTTCTTTCTTCAACATCTGTACCTGATAGTAAGCTAACTTTAGGCAAACCAGCAGCACAACAAATATTTTCAAATAAGACTCACAAACCTGAGTCAACACCAGTCTCATCAAAGCTGGGGTTCTGTCGTACTTTTTGTCTAAAAAGCGTCCTTATGTCCATCCTCACTCATGCGTTTCAGACAGAGAGTGTAGAAGAAACCGGCTGCTGAAGGGCTTCTTCTTCAGTGGTGGAGGCTCAGGCAGGCTGTATACAAACTACTGCCAGCTGCGCCCTCTCTGTTGGACTTTGGTACTGCATGTTACTTCCGCGATTTAGATCCGGGGCTTAACATGAAAGATCCGGGGCTTCAGCCCAAGTAGCCGGGCCTAACGCCGCCCCTGGCAAAAAGTATATATATATATATATATATATATATATATATATATATATATATATATATATATATATATATATATATATATATATATATTTTTTATTTATTTATTTATTTTTTTGCTACACACGCCCCCTGCCCCGCAGAGCTCCATGCAATAGGAAACTGAGCGCTGACCAGAACTAACAAATAGCGTTAGACTACCGCTTACCTGCTTCAAATTTAAGGAATACCTCGACTGATGCAGAGTTGATTACTTTTCAAGGACAAGAAAGTCTTTGAAATATAAATACATGAAAGCACAGCATGACATGAGAATAATACTTGTAAAACAGCGTGTTTTAGCTATTTGTCTGCTTCAGAAGCACATTTATAAACAAGAAACGTGAAGTCGCCATCTTAAAAAAAACAGAGCGACAGACTTTTGGTGTGATATGCTCATCGGCCACTAGATGGTGCCATCGGATACGAGGAATACTCTGAAAAAAGACTAACTCAGTCATGTGACCAGAATATCTATAAACTTTAGCTGCGTTGAAAACAAACAAAAAGTTCACACATTTTCATACAGATGGGTTTAATCAAGCCTAACAACTGACTACAGAAACAAAGTATAAAGTTTAAATCACTGACTGATGTTGGTTCTTTTTTCCTTTCTAAGAACAACCAATAAAACAAGAATGCTCCCGGAAACATCCAGCCTGGACCTTCAGACACCCAGCACTCGTAGACAAAGTGGGAACCTTTCCAAAATATTCTCTAATTATTCAGCAGAAAACACATTTTTGGTAAATGACTTAGTGAAAATGAAGAGAGACGGGAAGGTCAAAGACGTTTCAAAGACATGAGAACATACAGTAACTATTTAACGAGCACAACGAAGAGGAAACAAAACACATCCGAGGTAGAATAGAGCCAAAACAACGATTCACCTCTTCATAAGAGGATTTTAATGAAAAGTTCCAACAATATACTGTAAAATAGCACGGCTTGAAAATGGATTCAAAATGAAGAGGACATGGACAATGTCAAAAGTGCTACTTCTAAATAAATCCCTTCATCACGCTTTAGGGATGTAAAACACACCAGGGTCAGAGCCGGGAACGTAGCACACATTTTTTTTTTACTTTTCTGGGATAATCTTTATGGGAATAGCCAGTTTTCCTAAGACAATGTGAAGAGAACCTTCCAGATTATTTCTCTGCTTTCCAGGCTTGTAATCTCCAGTTAAGGTCCTCAGCAGGCCCAGAACACCACCGTTTGTTTGTGTTTTAAGCGGAGCCTTTTTAGTCGTTTTCTTCAGAGCAGAAGTCTGAGATTTGGTAAGAGTTTGTTTTCTTTTTACAGCAGAGTCAGCATTAACCGTCCTGTTTGATTTGTTCTTCCTGATGGTGGTAGCCTCAGCCGACCCTTTGGCTGTGAAATACTTTTTTGCCGATTCTTCAGTTCTTTTCTTGTCCTCGTCAGAGATGTCCTTCTGTTGCTTTGACAGTTTCTTTGAGTTGCCATGAAACTTCTTCTGAACAGGTGGAGGTGTTCTCAAAGCCCTTTCAGGTCCACTGTTTGTGAGCGGTGCAGAATCCGCTCCTTTGGCCTGGACTGGCTGTTTTTGCAGCTGACGGGTTGCTGCAGGCTTTGATTTGCGAGCTGGAGGCTCCAGTTGAAATTTTGTGACTGCTGTTTCTTGTTTTGCTTTCTTAGATTTTGTTTGCCTTAGCTGTGAAGCATGTCTAGCTGCCACAGGTGACCTCCAACCCTGTGGCCTTTCTGTTTCAGGCTTCACTGGAAGTTTTACTGCTGTAGACTTTGGAACAGGCTTAATTTTGCCGAACGTGGCCTTTGACCTGGTTGTTTTTTCAGACGGGACATAATTTGGAGATTTTGTAGATTTTAATTTGAGTTTTCTTTGTCTCTGAAAGACGGAAGGAAGGCTTTGTTTGTCCGTGAAGAGACTTGGTGTGGGTATACTTTGGGGTACGCTGGCTCTAACAGTTAGTGGGGTTTCAGTTGGTATAGACTTCATCAGAGACTGATGTGTTGAATTCAACGAAACAGGAAGAACAGTGGTGACTGGAGGTAGAAGTCGATTTTGATGGGGTGTTATGGAGATGTGTCTTGTATGTTTCATCTTGTTCATCTCTCGAGCCAGCACCGTGAAGCCATCGATCAGAATCTCCAGACGTCCTTCTAGTCTACTAAGACGAGCCTCCATGTCGGTGTAGCTGCTTTTGAGCTCAGTAACCCTCTTGTCCATGTCTTGGTTTGAAAGGTGAGCAATAAGGTCCTTCAGCTGGGACCCGAGGTTCCTCTGCTGGTTCTCAACACTTTGGATGCTGTCCTTTATATCAAGCATGTTGCTTTGCAGCATGGCGAGGCTTTGATTGACGTTGTTCAGGTAAGTCGGAGTCAGGTGCTGAAAGCTTGCCTGTCTTATTTCCGGGCCAAGTGTGAAGCATGGTGGCAGTCTGATAGATTTAGTAGATGTCCTAGAACCATGGTCCAGTGTTGTAGACAATATAATCCTAGTGGGGTTGACACTTGTTTGTACAGTGGTAACTGGATATTGGTCATCATCATCTCCACTGCCATAGGGTCCAATCTCTCTGTCCCGGCTGAAATTGAATACTGGCTCGGCTCCACATTCCACAGGCAGGAAGGGCTCCCCACAAGCATCGGCAGGCGCCATGTCTTCTCTTAATATCAAAACAGTAAAATCAGGTGTGTTGCAGGTAGAGACTTCATATTACAATGAGCAACTCACACCCAGCATCACCCGGTCATCTTTGCCCTCCTTGTGGCAAAGATCCAACAGCGAGACAGGAGTCCTCATAAATGCCACATGTTCACATTTATGGGCCCAAAGCTAGAGTACATGTGGCCTCTGTGCAGATAGAATTAACACATTTTGATTCAACTAGGAGCAAAGCTGGAGCAGAAAGTATCTTCTGAAAGACAACAGAAGAAAGCATAACACACAGCCAAACTCGTCTCCTTGGGCTAAATTGTCCTTAATGTCACCAAAGGGCTCTTATTTTGAAAGACTTAATACATTTTCCAGTCAAACAAAATATAATCGCACATTCTTCTAATGCAACAAAACAGAATTACACACACCTGGGGATGTCGCGGTAAGTGGTGTAGCGGTAAATCCCGATAAAAATGTTGACAATAACAATAACGTCTTTTTTTTTTTTTTAAATCTCGGTGGATTACTGTGGTTGCGCTGTAGGCGCGGTGACCCTTACAAGCCACCGTAAACTACAAAAGTGTGCATCTGCTGAAGCTGCCGCACATGCACACTTTTTAGTTTACAACCAAAACGCTCTTCAAGCTGAAATAATGGCCAAAGGAGGAGATGGCAGCACTCAGGACATCTATCAGCCCTCAAAGATGACAAAGTCAGAAGTACGGGCATATTTGGGATATTTGAAGAATGCCGAGGGACAGTTGATAGAAGTCGGTTATCCTGTTTGCAGCATGTGCAGGAAAAAAGTGTCTGCGACAGGCAGCAACGCTTCCAATCTCATGACATCTGCCTCACCATCACCCAAAACTCTACAGTCAATGCAAGGCACGTTAACTTTAGCTGAAATGCGTGATGTGAGGACTTTGGGTTGAGAGAGGATGCAATGAGTCGCCCTATAGTGCAGCCGCTGCACCCACTGCCAGCATATAAACAGTGCCGCGGGCACCCCCATATTGAAATGACGTTATGCATTACTGGGCTCCCAGGAGGCAGATAAGAGTTGGTCTCTCTCTTCATTATTATCAATTTAACAATGCATGGGGTTGGCTGGCTAGGTTTCTGGCGCTATTTAGTACATGTAATAGCCTCAAAACGACCAACAACACATCATAAAATAATAAATACGAGTGGGAGATATAGATCTTTATTTTGTCCCACTGAGGAAACAGTTTGGGCGCCCCTGATCCATAGGTGGGGCTGGGTAGAGTAGCCAACAACTGTACTCATGTACGAGCAGCACTACTTGGAACACCTTTTACTCAAGTAAAAGTAGCTGTCTAATAAATTACTTAAGTAAGGGTAAAAAAGTATTTCATCAGAAGGCTACTAGAGTATCATCTGATCTCATATTTTTAAAATGACGTCATCAAACAGACAAAAAATGAAGTTATGTGCAAATGTTGGTGTTTTAAAGACTAAAAGGGGTAAAATGTAAACAGAAAAACAACATAATTACTAAATAAAATTTTAGGCTATATTTAGACAAACTCAGGACAATATTTTCCTGATATTGAGGGTTTATTTAGTTGTCTGAAAATGTAACACATTTAAAAAAAATACTGCCATAATTTCGAAAACCGTGATAACTTTGGTCACAATAACCGTGAGGTTAAATATTCACACCATGACAAGCCTACACACAACCAGTGGACATACGAAAACAGCACAGGTTTGCATAAAAGACTCAGTGGCAGAAAACTGCATTTCTCGTTTATACTCCGAGACAAATCCGCTCCAAATGCCAAGTTGAAAAACAAAACGAGGGCAATACAGGCTGCAGACATGCCCAAACTCTTTGTGTGAAGGAAGCCAGTGGGCGCTAATGTCAGCACCTCCTAACCTTACTGCCGGCCAGCCAGCGAGCCCCAGAGAGAATCAAGAGGACTGAGGGGGAAGGACAGGCAGAAAACAATGAGAACGTGCAGCATACCTTTCACAGCGCCCGCCAGCGAATCCAGGTGGGCACTTGTCACAGACTGGCTCTCCGTCGGCGCCCCGATAGCAGGTTGAGGAGAACCTAAACGAAGAGAGAATAACATATTCCTGGAGGATCTTTTAGCAGTGAACACTGTTTAGTCTAACTGCATGACTGACCAACTGCGGACAAAAGCACTGAGACTGAATCCACTTTACTGTGCTCAATGTTTGCTGTCTCACACTTTTTAAATCTTATCAAAACATTTTTATGAAGCGCTTTTCATACAAATGCAGCTCAAAGCGCTTTGCAATATTAAAAACAAACAGGTGGCTGTCGGTTTCCCACCCCTCCCACATCTCCCTCCTCCCACCCTCAATCCCACATATACATTTCTAGGGTCACTGAAGTACATTTAGAAGCATTTCACTGGCTTCAAATGCTTTTGGGTCATACCAAAGACTTTGAAAAAATGGGACCCAATGCCTCCCTGCTTGGCACTCAGCATTAAGGGATTGGATTGGGGGCTTAAACCACCAAATAGTTCCCGAGCGTGGCTTGTCTGCAGCTCACCGCTCCCCCAGGGGATGGGTCAAATGCGGAGAATAAATTTCGCACACACACCTGTGTGTGTGACAACTAATGGGACTTTTAACTTTAACTTTTGTTGGGCATCAGGACTAATTTAGTCTATAGCAGGGCTATTCAAGTTTGGGCCTCGAGGGCCGGTATCCAGCAAGTTGTAGAGGTTTCTCTGGCCCAACATGCTAGATTCAGTGGTTGAGTCACCTGTGCAGCAGCTCATCAGGATCTGCAGAAGTCTGTTAATCACCTGCTGATTGAAATAAGGTGTGTTGAAGCAGAATTAAAACTAAAATGTGCTGGATTACGGCCCTCGAGCCCCGGAATTGAATAGCCCTGGTCTATAGCGTTGGTTCGTCTTTATCTGGACCTCTGTAGTTCAGCCTGGCATACTGATAATCAACGTCTGGTCCAGATCCTGACTGATGCAGCACATAGTTCCTCATCATTGTTTGGAGTTATAATTTGTGAGTTATTATTTTTATTGGGATTGAGGTCTGGAAAGTTTCCTGAAACGGGACCCAACATACTGATGTTTGGTTCCCTGATCCACATAGTTTTGACTTTAGCCTTAAGGCCTGGCGCCTCATCATGCTGGAGAAGACGTTGTTCATCACCAAACTGTTTCTGAGTGGTTGGAGGAGTTCCTCTGGGATGATGTTTAGGTACCATATTTATTCATGACTGCTCTAAGGCTAAACTAAGGGGATTCATCATTCGGAATGACTTTACCCCAGGCCTCAGCAGTGCAATGTCTTGACCTACCTGTAGTTGTTTTAGAAAAGAATTGGCTTCTCTTGGCAACAAGCTGTCCCACGAAAGCCTAAGGTCTCCGCTGGCAGTATACTGACCCTGTGCTTGAATCAACTCTAGGAGAATGTTCTTGTGCTTACTGGACTTTCTCAAATCCTGATGCCTTCTGAACAACAACTGAACTTCTCTAATGGAGAAGCCTAACAAAATGGCTGATTAAGGTGCAATATCATCAGCAGTGTGAGAAGCCATTTTTATGTAAAGCAGTGATGACCACATATGTTTCATTATAGGGAACCAGGGTCACCAGAAGATATCTCAAAGCATTCAGTCTGCTTTGCAAAGCACTCAAGTCTCATCCTGTCCAACACTCATTTGGAAGAAGGAGCAGCTACTCAACAGGTAGAGCCGGTTGTCCAGTAATCGGAAGGTTTGATCCTGGCTCCGGACAGAGAATTCTGCTGTTGGGCAAGACACTTAACCCACTTTGCTTGCTGGTGGTGGTCGGAGGGACCGGTGGCGCCTGTGCTCGGCAGCGAGTGTGCCCCAGGGCAGCTGTGGCTACAATGTAGCTCATCACCATCAGTGTGTGAATGGATGAATGATACACAGTAGTGTAAAGAGCTTTGGAGTCCTCTGACTCTGAAAGGCGCTATACAAGTGCGGGTAATTTATCATCATCAATTGTGTTAGGAAGTGATCTCCAAATGATGTCCGCAGGTTTTTCTATCTGATCCACAGTGGCGTTGGTTGTTCTGTGGGGGGATTGGGTGCTTTTCACTGCAAAGAAAGACTTTTGATCTCTCTTATAAACATTCTAAAGTTCATCCAGGTGTTTGTGTCATTCTCTAAATCTTTTGTCACCACTGCACATACAATATTTAATTATTTTTTTTTAAAAAGGCCCAAATATAAAAGAGTTGATGGTATAAACTCACTGGTTGTTGGGAGATGTGCCAGGACAGGGGCAGGGCTGACAGGCCTGAGGTCCCCCCCTCAGAGGGTCTCCATAGAAACCAGGCAGGCAGCGCTCACATTTCGGTCCAGCAGTGTTATGAAGACATTGCTTCAGAAGACACGAACACAGGAAGAGAAGGTGAGATCCTTTGGAACAACAGAGCACAGCACTCGTGCTTTCACATGCTGGGATGAGCCAAGAAATCATTAGCACATTCCTGGGCAGAGATCAAAGCAGGTTTGGCCCTGATGAAGAGGTCACAGAGAGGAAGAGGACTACAGCACCTACCAGACACCTGCCGGTCTCCGGGTCACAGCTGCTGGCGTGACCGTTACAGTCACACCTCTCACACGTGCCCAGGTAGAGACCAGTGGTCCGTGTGTAGCCTTCATCACACTCCTGCAACAAACAGCAAGGAAACACTCCTCAGCTGTGATAACAAACAGAAACACGTCTTTGTTCCACTGCAGCCTGCAGACTCTGCAATTATCAACAACAACTAATGGAAAACAGATTTATATACAGCAAGCTCGGGCACATCTGGGACTGTTCCGCCATCTCGCTGTTTCCAAACTGTTCTTTAATTTTAATAACTGCACATTGATCAGCCATCAACGATAGATGAAGTGAAAACCTGCCCAGCATTCTGCCTGAAGCTCTGAGTTGAAACGAGGAGCAACCCCAAAGATATTATCCTTAAATTCTGCCTCTGATGTGGTTTTCATTGTTTTGTGACCATCAGATCTTCTAAATTATAGCACAAAAACCCAACCCTCCCCGAATCGCTTTATTCATTTTGGATAAACATCCAACGCCCTGCCTGGATTTTATAAGATCTTAACTATGTAATTGCTGAAATCTAATGACTCATGATACTTTTAGGATCGTGTAAACATGAGTAAGACAGACATGTTTTGTGTCACAGCAGAATCTGTTGTTTCAAGTCCTGACACATAGAGATGTGAGCACAAATGCAGCTCCAATGTTACTTTTGTGTAGTTAATCTGAAGTAGAATTAAATTGCATGGTAGCTTAGAAATCTAGACAGAACGTAGTTAAGGCTTTTTCCATCGCCCAAACTGGCATGGAATGGGAAGGATCAGGTCGCTAATTTTTCTGTTCCGATTGTAAAACCGGTCCAGCCAACCTACCCGGACAGCGCCATTCACAGGATTTTTTTGGCTCCCTTTTGTTGTAGGTCCAGAAATTTCTAGAGCGGCACAATTAGGGTGGAGCAACAATACAGTCCACTGATTGGTTGACAGAAATACATCACTATTTGCAAAAAGAAAGACAAACAAAGTTGCGTTGTTTGTATTTTCGTTAGTTGTACATGAATGTGGAAAAAATGCCTGCAAGTAGCAGCAAGTTTTGGTCACCTTTAGAGCTCCATTCATTTCCCACCGTTGTCGTGAAAGTCCACAGGAGGAGCTAGACCAGGGGTGTCAAACTCATTTTAGCTCAGAGGCCACATTGAGGGAAATCTAGTCCCAGGTGGGCCGGACCGGTAAATTTAAAAAAAAAAACTTCAGATTGTTTTCTTTGTTTTAATACAGTCAATATAAAACGAGGCTGGGGCCTGAGGACAGTGTAGTACAAGTACAACACCTGAAGTGTACTTGAAAATTTGAAAAAATAAAAAAATCAACAAATAAAAAAACATTCCTTAGTGATTCCAAAGAGCTTACAGATCACATGGCTAGATCAGTTTCATGCAGCACTTAAAGTATATTTGACTCATTTTACTTTACATCTTTTAGCTTTCACCAGCACATCAATATCAGGAGTTACATCCTGAGTGGCGGCCATCTTCAGGATGGGATTCAAGTTCTTGTGTGAGCCTTGAGCGCAGCTTTGTTTTATTTATACTCATTACAGAGAAAACTTGCTCACAAAGATACATTTATTTTCACTCTACACTGTAAAGTATGAAAATAAAGTTTACACAACCATCTCGCGGGCCGGATTTAACCCGCTTGCGGGCCGGATCCGGCCCGCGGGCCGCATGTTTGACACCCCTGAGCTAGACGGACTGGTAGTTTTTTTCTCAGCGGATGGCAGCCGAAGGATCAAAGCGGATGTCGGCTCAGTGTCGGGCCAAGATGAAGAAATTAAAGCCTGATAGTTAATAGTTAAGGACAGAAACAGCCGGAGCGGATTTTTTTTTTCTGATGGGAGAAATACACGGAGTTGCTACACGCCAAGGCGGCGAGGCAGGCTTCTGGACTTAGTGAGTCACATGTGGAAGCTGTGGTAAGCATTTTGTTTTTGTCTTTAGCTCTGTAGACCATTTATTGCAGCGCAGAAATACCGAATAGTTGCACGACTTGGAAAATTGCGCATGGCGGTTCGTTTAACCCCGCCTGCCAACATGATGGCCCAAACTGCGATCAAAAAGCTCGCCTGAAAATTCCAGAACACACTGGTCCAAAAATAACCAGACCGTTCCATACCTGGCGATGGTAAGGAGCTATAAGACTGCTCTGCAGGTCGGTCTGGCCACGCTCCATTGGAGCCTTAGCAGGTTAACCATTGGCCCAAAACAATCTTATGTTACACCAATCACAGCGCTCTATTGGTTTGGTGGGCGGGATGATGTGACGGAGCGGAACAACTAAGATGGCGTTGGCTCGTTTGAAACAGATTTGGCATCAACTTTGGACTATTTACACTTGGGCTTTACTGAGAGTCAAGAGCAGATAGAGGTACTTAAGTCCTTTATTTAGAAAAATGATGTATTTATGTCTTCTACAACAGCATATGGTGGACTGCCCCATTGACTGGCATCCGTAGCGGTGAGTGCCTCACATTGCTTGTTGTCCAATAGCATGCGGAGACCGCTTGAAAGACAACCGTAGATTCCGCCCCATGACTGAGCTCTGTCTGTGGGTCGTGGCCAGACTATACATTCACACATATAGGATGACAGGCTAAATGTATAGGCAACCTTTTAATACAATGGGAGAGCAACACCAGATGCTGATGCTGGAGTTACCTCTCATATAATTACAAAGATATTGATTTTTGCTGTTATTCTAACAAGTTTAAAGAGCAAGTCACCCCCAAATCACTATTTTTTTGCTGATAAACTATATAAATGTGTGTCTAATCGTGCTGCAGACACGTGTAGTCAATAATTTGGCAGTTCAGTGCATCTTGGTTAAAATTCAAATATTCTGCCTAAAACTGTCAGTGTTGCGCCGTCGTCAGGGAAAAATTCTGCATTGTATTGGAATTTAAATCTGCCACCGCTATTGGCTAAGAGGTATGCTATGATGTCATCTGGTACATTATGATGTCATAATGCCACTGTGAGCCTCTGTGTGTGTGTATTTGTTAGCGGCTCCGCCCTCTCGGTCTGCCAAGCAACAGCATGTGTTGCATTTTTCAAACATGAAGTGGGAGTGAAGTAAGTTTCTTGTAAGGGGTGACTTGCTCTTTAAACACACTTGTTGGATGTGACCGGCTTCATCCTTAAACTCAACCTGAACTCTTCTCTGACATCATCTTTCCTATTGATGTCTCATTTTTTAGATGGTTTTAGATGTTGGTTCAAACCCCCCCTGTCCTGCAACAACTTCACTGGCTCCCTGTCAAATACAGAATTGACTACAAGATACTTCTTCATGCCTTTAAAGCCATCCATAATCTCGCTCCCCCATATCTTTCTGATCTCCTCCACATTGTCACTCCCACTCGCTCTCTCCGATCATCATCTTCACCTTCTCTGTCTGTTCCTCGCACTCGTCTTAGTACTACGGGAGCCAGAGCTTTCAGCCGCTCAGCTCAAAAACTCTGGAACACTCTACCGCCTGACCTCCGCAATATAAACTCCTTCTCAACCTTCAAGTCTCACCTCAAAACTCACATGTTCCACCTGGCTTACTCACTGTAACTGTCCTCCTTCCATCTACTCTTTTTAGTCTATTATCCATCACACTGCTCCGACTCTACCTTTGGGAATTACTTTTAGCATTTATTTCTTGTTGTTTGTATTGCTTGCTTGTTATATTTTGTCCTGTACAGTGACCTTGAGAGTTTTGAAAGGCGCTTGAAATAAAATGTATTATTATTATTATTAAACTCTGAACAAACTTCAGATCCCCACCAGGGGCTAAACTTCTGCCTCAAACCATGACAGGGCCTCTGCCATGTTTCACAGATAAGTGCAGATAACTAATGAACCTCTCTCTTGACCTTTAATCCCAAAACAGAGAAAGAAAAGGTTCCTGATGATGTATTGTTACACCCCAGTAGTCAGGGGAAGGTATTTGTAATTACCTGGCAGGATGGTCCTCTGTAGCCCTGGGGACAGGCACACTCTTCCACCTCCAGAGCAGGTTTGCTATCAGAGGACTGAGGAACAGCAACATCCATCTTGATGTCCGAGATACTACGACACAAGAAAACGGGATAAATGCTTCGTTTGCTTGAGTTATTCGTGAAAATGCGAAAGACGGGAGGTTTTTCAACGATACCTGGTTTCAGCCATGTTGTCTGCGTACGTGGCCCTGATCATGAAGACCGAGATGTCAGCTAGTGCCATCAGCAGATGCTCACGAGTGCACGGTTGCCCGTCAGCACGACGCCACTCCGACTAACACACACAACATCAACGGTAAAACGAACTGACACCGGCTGAAGATTCACGTTCAGGTTGCAACATTAGACCAACAAACCGAAGCTCACCTCTCTGAAAGTCACAGAGATCGTTTGAGACAACCGAGGGAGGGGCTTCGTCTTGGTGTAGTGCTCCAGGAAAATGTTGTTCCCTTGGAGAACCACGTCTGGATGACCGTCAGTCACCGCAGAGCGCTGATACGGTTCAAACCTCACCGTGTAGAGAAGCTCGCCACCATACGCAGTCACCTGGTGGAGGGAAAGGTGGAGAGGGAAGGTCCTCCTGATGAGCTCAGCTGTGTCGTATGGTTCAAAAAAGGCTTGCTGTCATACTGAACATACTATGCACTTTAACTGGGGTTATAATTTTAACATATATTCATAATTTACCAAAGAAAGTCAGCGCTGAGGAGCTAACACACATCCTGAACTAAAGCGCTGATGCCTGGCTGAACTCAAAACAGATCTGTCTCTGTATACAACTCAAGCGGACATTTTCATAAACAGGCGCGTCTGCTTACATTGCTTCGTGTTTTTTTTTACTTGCTACGGTTTTAAGAACAAATGAAGATTAATAATCCTAATCAGAAAAGTCCACGATGTGTGTGGGACAAAATGTTGCTGTCACTCATTTAGCAAGTGCTTTTATCCAAAGAGACGGTTATTAACGTAAGCATGCATGTTTTTGGTCTGTGGGAGGAAACTGGAGCATGTGGATGAAAGCCACACAAGCATGAGTGGAACATGCTAACTCCACAGAAAGGCCACTGCCGGGATTTGAGCCCATGACCTTGTTGTTGCAAGGCAGCAGTGCTATCACCATGCAGCCAAGGTGTCTTAACTTCAGTACAACTTTTTTCTCATTTCATGAGCTACTTTGTTGTTTTGTTCTCTCACTTTGTCCCCTGTGAAGCTCTCAGGCAGCACCCAGTAGAAGACGGTGCTGGGACCACTTGGGAAGGGCCGGTAGACCACTTCAGAGCCTCTCTGGGAGATTCCTTCAGAGATCGTTTGAGTGTTGGTGCTGTCGGTGAGAGAGAAGAGGCGCCCGTCGGTTCCTCCTCTCACCTAAGAGGCGCAAACAAAAAGGTTTTACTGAAATCACTTGAAATAACTCATCCTGACTGAGCAAACACCAGACATCTGAAAAGATCACCCCACCTGTTCTCTGCTCCAGGACGAGCTGGCACACTCTTTGGTGACCCCCATGCAGAAACAGCGCATGCAGCCTTCAGGGTTGGAGTCAGATAGGTGGAAGAATCCCGGCTTGCATTCGTCACACTGAGAGCCTGCCACGTTGTTCTGCAACGTACACACGACAACAAAACATGCACATATGTAATCCATCTGTACGACACGCCTGCCAGTCCTCTTGTAATGAACGACAGCGGAAGACGTAAAGAAAACACATCTGCACCTTGCAGCTGCAGGGCCTACTGCTGGAGCTGATGGTTCCTCTGTTATCACAACTGGAGCTTTCTGCAGGAAGAGGGCAGTGGAGACAGGATGACACATGAGGAGAGGGGAGCACCTGGGAGTGTTCCAGCCATGCTGCATACTTGAGCCATGATCACATCCTACTGTAATGCAACCCTGGTAATAATTACACACTCTCACGGTTACAGAAGCTGCCTCTGTTCATTGTTCCGTGTCTGTAACTTTTGTAATAAACATAAAAAAAACTCACCTGTAGGAGTGCATCTTCCATTAGGCAGGAGTGGGTTACCCTGGTAACCAGGGGCACACCTGAAACACAACCACACACCTAATGACTAAATGCATTTACAGGGGTCAGGTTGAATCATTGTTCTTCATCACAGTTTAAATTCTACAAACTTTCAGCCTTTTGTATCTTATTAATATTGGTTAAGCGCACAGGTCTCCAACCTGATCTAAACACATTTCATTCTGGTGGCCTGAGGAGAAAAACATATGCATAAAATCCTAATTTCCCCAAATCCCTGACGCCTCTGCATGATAATATTTATACACCTGATACTGATCAGTTATTTTATCTGACACATCTCATACCACACCATCATCATACAGTGGGGCAAAAAAGTATTTAGTCAGCCACCGATTGTGCAAGTTTTCCCACTTAAAATGATGACAGAGGTCAGTAATTTACATCATAGGTACACTTCAACTGTGAGAGACAGAATGTGAAAAAAAATCCATGAATTCACATGGCAGGATTTTTAAAGAATTTATTTGTAAATCAGGGTAGAAAATAAGTATTTGGTCACTTCAAACAAGGAAAATCTCTGGCTCTCACAGACCTGTAACGTCTTCTTTAAGAAGCTTTTCTGTCCTCCACTCGTTACCTGTATTAATGGCACCTGTTTGAACTCATTATCTGTATAAAAGACACCTGTCCACAGCCTCAAACAGTCAGACTCCAAACTCCACTATGGCCAAGACCAAAGAGCTTTCGAGGGACACCAGGAAAAGAATTGTAGACCTGCACCAGACTGGGAAGAGTGAATCTACAATAGGCAAGCAGCCTGGTGTGGAAAAATCAACTGTGGGAGCAATTATCAGAAAATGGAAGACATACAAGACCACTGATAATCTCCCTCGATCTGGGGCTCCACGCAAGATCTCATCCCGTGGGGTCAAAATGATCATGAGAACGGTGAGCAAGAATCCCAGAACCACACGGGGGGACCTGGTGAATGACCTGCGGAGAGCTGGGACCACAGTAACAAAGGTCACCATCAGTAACACACTACAACGGCAGGGAATCAAATCCTGCAGTGCCAGACGTGTTCCGCTGCTGAAGCCAGTGCATGTCCAGGCCCGTCTGAAGTTTGCCAGAGAGCACATGGATGATACAGCAGAGGATTGGGAGAATGTCATGTGGTCAGATGAAACCAAAGTAGAACTTTTTGGTATAAACTCAACTCGTCGTGTTTGGAGGAAGAAGAATACTGAGTTGCATCCCAAGAACACCATACCTACTGTGAAGCATGGGGGTGGGAACATCATGCTTTGGGGCTGTTTTTCTGCTAAGGGGACAGGACGACTGATCCGTGTTAAGGACAGAATGAATGGGGCCATGTATCGTGAGATTCTGAGCCAAAACCTTCTTCCATCAGTGAGAGCTTTGAAGATGAAACGTGGCTGGGTCTTCCAACACAACAATGATCCCAAACACACCACCCGGGCAACAAAGGAGTGGCTCCGTAAGAAGCATTTGAAAGTCCTGGAGTGGCCTAGCCAGTCTCCAGACCTCAACCCCATAGAAAATCTGTGGAGGGAGTTGAAAGTCCGTGTTGCTCGGCAACAGCCCCAAAACATCACTGCTCTCAAGAAGATCTGCATGGAGGAATGGATTTTTTTTTCACATTCTGTGTCTCACAGTTGAAGTGTACCTATGATGAAAATTACTGACCTCTGTCATGATTTTAAGGGGGGGAACTTGCACAATCGGTGGCTGACTAAATACTTTTTTGCCCCACTGTAATTAGTGTAAAGATCTAAACCAGCTGCAGCTGAGTTACAACATTAGTGTCCTCACTTTTCACATCTTCTCCCTGTGTACCCAGGCCTGCAGGCGTCACATGTTGGCTGTTGGTCAAAACCCAGGAAGCAGGTGTCAGAAAACCTAAAACAGGAAACAAAAGCAGCAAAAGGGGCAAAAAAGATAAGGAGGTGGTGCATTAAATAAAAAAAATGTAACAAATGACTGAGTTTGTATTTCAGCCAAATCTTGGAATCATTGTGAGTTTTTGTGATGCAGTCTGCATCTCAATCCCACTTCTTTTTCTTGGATGTTTTTATGTTTGTGAGGTTAGGGAGGCGCCGTCTCACCGTCGTAAGGACTCGCTGTATGGGCAGGGGCATGGCTTGCAGTCATCATAACGACCTCGACTCGGGTCGCCAAAGAAACCGGGTCGACACTTGTTACACTGAGGACCTTCGGTGTTGTGCTGGCAGCTCTGTCGTGGAGGAGACACACCAATGATCTTTTTTTTAAATGCAAATTCTTACTTTGATCTTAAGCGAATGAAAAAAACAATAAACTCTTGTTCTTTTGACTTCCTGTTTTGTAAGCGTTCTCTTATTTTGTCATGCCTGCTGAAGGACGCACACTTCCTTTTTTCCTGAGGGTTGAATTCTTATGCAGAAAGTAGAGACTCACTGACAAGCAGCAGTGCTACAGATAAAGTTTTGTTTCACACTTACTCTATTTGGATATCCAGGCTTCTCTGGCAGCTCTTCGCTGCTTTTATAGCAGCGCTGGTTTGTCCATGTGTGTGTGTGTGTGTGTGTTCTCTCACAAGGTGAGACTGCCTCAGCCAGTTTAGAACCTGATATGTTCTATGCATGACAACCAACTATTCAAATAAGCTTTTGCATGTTTTATCCAGATTATGAAGTTAAAACAGTTTCCTGCCTCATGCACCCACCGGAATGATTAAACCTCTTTTGTGAAAATGATGTGATATTAATCATAATAAAATTATTTACTCTCTCATCATCTATTTGGTAATTACCAGGCAGTGTCCACTGATGGGGTCGCAGGCCGTTGCGTGTCCATTACAGTTACACCCAGCACAAGTGCCAAGGTAAGAACCACCAGGGACTCGCTCAAAACCAGAGGAACACATTTCACAAGACAGGCCCGTGTATCCAGAAGGACATCTGGAAACGAGAACATGAGCATCATCGTCCAAAGTGACGATCCAACCATTTCTAAACCAAGTTTCAACATCACAGCCTGTAAACCTTCTTCGTGTCATAGAGAAAGAACAGCTGTTGGAGGAGAAGCAAAACTGAGAGGAGTTATGGGCTCGACACACGGAAGGCGACATCGCCTCTCCTCCATTCATTTTCAATGAGACATGCGCGACAAAGCGATAATCGCGGGTCTCCCTCCTACCAAGCGAAACGCAAAAAACGTGCGTGTGAAATTTTGCGCTCGTGCACGTGTCGTGCACAGGCGACCCAGCGACGCGATCCCAGAAAGTTGAAACATTTTCAACTTTTCATCGCTGTCGCTCGGACGAGGACCAATCAACGGAGGTTTCATTAACTGACCAATGAGCGGACAGCATGCTCCATACATCTCCGAGCAAACATGGAGGAGAAGTTGATTATTATTATGTTTATATAGTAAAATCAGAAGTAACCTGACACAGCCAAGCAAAATGACGGAAGTTTCGATTTCGCCATGGAACAGAATGCATAGACGGCTTTGCCGCTGGCCGCTGGCGCGGATCGCCTCCCGTGTGCCAGGTAATAAAAGCGACAAATTTCGCTGATCGCGGTCTTTTGTCGCCTCCCGTGTGTCGAGCCCATTAGACGCCGTGATGATATTTGGCAAGAATACTGCATCAAAAATCAGTCCCTGGATTTAAGACTACTGTCATTTCATATTATGTTATGATGCTGTTCATTTGAACTCAAAACACGTGGAATGGGAGCAACCTTTGTTTACATAACAGATCGATTCTTTTTTAAATGATTCTTGCCTGCATTCTTCCACATTCTTAGCCCGATCCAGAGTGGTGAACTCCACAGAGGTGGTATCCATGACAATGTCACTGAGCGCCACGCTGACCATGTGGTTGTCGTAGATGGTGCGGATGCTGATGCTCTCCAGGTTGGCCAGCGTCATCATCAGCTCCTCGCGGCTCACAGGCTGCCCGTTGGACATCTGCCACTGGTCCTGAAACATTAGGCAGCAAATGTTGTGGACTTTGTTCTTCTATAACTTCACTTGTTTCACCTGGAGCCTTACTTCTGTGAAGCGGATCACTTTATGGTTGACCACATTTGGTGGGGTGCCCTGGGGCTCCCTGAGATACACAAGTCTGCGTCCGTTTCCAACCAGGATCACGTTGGGCCTGACCACCGGCTCTGACAGACCACGCGCCAGGATGTATCGCACCTTGTACTTCAGAGATCCTCCATAAGAATCGATCTAAAAGGAGATGGAAATATTCTCAGCTATAAAGTCATTATGGGTCTTAAAGCACAGCCAGTAATTGTAACTAGATATACCTTGTTGCCCAGGAACTGGCCAGGTAAGGTCCAGTAGGATTCCAGGTTGAGGAAACGGCGAGACAAGTCAACAAGCTGAAACTCCCCCATCTCGGGGTTAATGAGGAGCTGAGTGGAGGAGAGAGGAGGAGTGCCAGGTCTGAAAGGGTAGGAGACGTTTACTCCTACAAAAAGAAAAACAAAAGATAACCCACTTCAGATTCAAATGTAAGGACAAGAAAAACTTGCTAAGCTGTTGCATAAAGTCAAGAGAATGGCACAAATAATAGTTATTAAAAAATTGCAGTTCAGACAGTTTGCATAAACTCCAGAATTGTAGGAAAGGTGATCCCATGAAGTACAGGCAATTACAACTCTCTTTGACATCTTCATGTCCACTTTAAGCTTTCAGGTGCCCAAAATAGTCCCGTGCAGACTGTCTCCTAAAGTTTGGGATCCACCAGAGCAGAACTTTCTCCACAATGGCAGCAGACAGGTGTGAGAGGATACCCAGCATAACTATGGGAAGACATTTGGAGGGCCGCCAGGTGTCAAGACGGGAAACAAATGAGCCACTTCTTTCCACACGGACGGACCTCTATCCTGCTAAAGGTCCAGAGATTCAACTGTTCAGGACTGGGATAAAGACCCTTGCTTGGTTTATGCTTGACGCATTTACTTTCCGCTTGGTGATGCGGCTCGCGGATGGAACGCGCTTCACAACTCGCAGCGTTTATGGTTCATGCGGCTTGTCTCTGCGGTGAGCCAATATTCTCCCAACCTGTAGGGGGCAGCATGGAGCTCTACGGCATGCATCCAACACTACACCATAGAAGTAAAAATTACTGTTTACAACATGGCATTCCAGCATGTTTAACAGCGTCCTCGTCTTTTCCGACAGTGCGAGCTATTTCTCTCCAAGAATTATTAACTACATGTTGATCACGGCGATCTTTGAGAGCTGAATCGTACAAATGTCTGTATTTACGAACTCTGCCATAACTAGTTCTTGCCAGTCCGCCATGTTTTTCCGTGTTCGACCGTCCGCGTGGTTAGAAAATTTCCTAGGTGCGCGGTGCGGAAAGTTTGGGCCATGTGGAGGCGTGGTGGAGGGGCGTGGTTGTTAAAATGATGCAATTTTGCCGCGCGGAGCCGTGCGGACCTCGCGGACGCATCAAGCATAAACCAACCTTAAAGAAAGGTACCTAAACATCCTCCCAGAGGAACGCCACAACCCGCCCAACTGTTTAGTGATACAGTAATAATGTCTTTTCCAGCATGATCAAGTGGATCGGGAATAAAACATCAACATTTTAGGTCCTTATCTAGGAAACTTCCCAACCCAAACAAATCACTACAACCTACAAAGTCAAATAACTAAGAAGGATGCGCGGCCATCATTAAGTATTTAGACCAGAAGGTAACCGACATGGTGAACTAGCGTAGCCTTTAAAAAGAAGGACCGACACTGCACATGTCGAATTTCATATCTAATCTAATACATGTAAGTGTCAATAAAAGCCTTTGAACGTTTTGAAATACTTCAGCAACACCCTGACCCCACCCCAGATAAAAACAAGTGAAGCAGGGAACTTTGTGGAAACCAACATTTGTGTCATTCTCTGAACATAGCCAGCGCTACAGGTGCCATGGTGTGTGTGTTTGTGCGTTAAAAGCTTCAGTGCCTTTGTAGTCGTCCTCGTCGGTGAAGCGCAGGCTGATCTGGTTGCGGTAGCGCCCGGTACTCTTGCAGCTTGTGGAGACGCCGGCGCAGAAGCAGGAGACGCAGCGTCCGTCCACACTGAAGAAACCATTGGGGCAGATTCCTAAAGACAAATGAGAAGAGTCAATTCTGTTCTCGCCCTAATGTTTGCTGTCAAAACCGCTCCCTCAGAGTGCACCTGGGTTTGGATTTGACGTGAGAGTTAGAACTCCATCAGGGATCCCAAACACCAGGCCTTTAGCATTGATGGCCTCACAGGTGTACGCTCCCTGGTCCGACTCCTTTACATCACGAATAATCAGAGTCCCACGGCCGTTCTTACTGGTCATCGTAAACCTGAGTAAAGAAACAAAGCAAACAAAGCCAGTGAGCTAAGGAAGAACTTTATCTGTGATTATTTGTACAGTCTGCAATTCTAAAATCTTCTGAATTCCTCTGTAATCATCTAACTGCACACGGCAGGGCACTCTGAACGTGAGCAGCCTGCAACCGCAGCCATCGGAGTTGGAACGCACAGCGAATTTCTCTGTAATTAAAATCACAAGCTGAGAAACACGGAGTCAGCAGTGAAACGTTGCAGTAGAGGGGGCTGGGTTTCTACGGCACGACTGTCAGCTGAGAAACGTGAAAATGAAATCATCGTCGCAGATCGCTGCAGGAAGACAAAACAACTTTCATTCGACACAAACATGACGCCCAAACAAAATCTGCCAAGTGGAAATGAAAACATTTTTATCTTTATTAGGAGCACTGATGAGTAATATTCAAAGATGTGGAGATGTATCATGAAGCTCACCTGCCACTGGGAGGAATGTGTCCCCAGTTGAGCCTCCAGGTGATGATGGGCGTCGGAACTCCAACGGCCTGACAGGTGAACGTCACCGTCGACCCCCGCGCTGCCTGAACCGACTCCTCTGGTGGGCTTGTCACAGAGGGAGGGGCTGTCAAGAAGACAACAAAGTTGTCTTAATCACACATAACTGTACGGAAAACATCTGGGCTGGGACTAAAATGTAGCCCTTCGGTCATCTGCTCCAGAACATTCCCTCTAAACAGTCCGAGCGGAGCTCTGCATCTCAGCTGTGTGACGAGAGACTGGCTCCAAAGAAAACCAGTCACAGAAGAGTGGGAGAATGGAAATGCAGAGAAATGGAACGTGGTGACTTACTGCAGCCGATCTCGTCGGAGCGGTCGGAGCAGTCGGACTCTTCATCACACTGGTAACTAGCCGGGATGCAGGTGTGATCCACCTGGCATTCAAACTGCTCAGGACCACACCTTTCACCTGGGCCTTTTGTGGCTTTAGAGATGAAAAACAAACTAATCAAAGAACTTTTTTAACACTCGTGGACAGAAACTCATTTAAAAGCAGGTCCGTCTCAATGTCCGTCTCATTAATAAAAGTAATGTGTCCAATTTTTGGTGGATGAAGACGGTTCGGCATTTTGGCTCATGTTCAGGATGGAGGTGAAGACTTACGGCAGTTTAATTCATCAGAGTTATCTTCACAGTCGTTATCTCCATCACAGCGCCAGAGCTTCAGGGCACAGCGACCGTTTTTACATTTAAACTCGTTGGGCTCACAAGGAGACGGGGTGCCTGTGAAAAATTAAAGGTAGGCTAGAAACATCAGGACATGAAGGGAAAATATTAATCATCTATTTGTGCATCAAATGTTTTTTAAATGTTTTAAAGAGGTCCATCACTCGTATTTTTAACACATTTGCCGTGGTCTATAGTGGGAATGAAGGCCCTGTAAGTCGTACTCTGGGGGGAAAAAAAGCTCCGGTGCACCTGCATCAGCATGGAGAATTCAGCTAGAGGAGAATGTAGCTTCAGACGACAGGATATAGTCTTTTTCCTAATAGACCCTTTTACTACCTACGTCATCAAAAGTTGCGCGCGCAGCCTGGCAACAAGAGTGAAGGCTTCCTCATTCACACTCGATACTGAAACAGCGTTTTAAACCCTTTGTTTTGAAGTTCTGAGCACATAAAAATGTTGGGTTGTTGCGTGTATGGATGCCAGAATCGCTTCTCTTCAAGCAGTGGACTGAAACTTTACAGAATTCCGAAGGGAGCAAATCCATTTCAACAAAATCGGAGGCGTCTGTGGCTGCCGGCCATCAAAAGGGTTGATGAAAACTGGACTGAAAACACGATCCGAAATGCTCGAGTTTGTAGCGCCCATTTTATATCAGGTAAGGTAATTATGTACTAAGATTACACCAGAAAGCTGGTTAACGTGTGTTCTATTAAATAAACTAAGTTGCGTTTGATGGTTTGCTTTTAAGCAGTCTATTTATTTACAGGCGAGGTGTCATTGGACTCCTCGAGTCCTGATTTTGTGCCTTCTGTGGTTACGTACACAAAGCGAAGTCCAAACCCCCATGCAAAGATGGACAGGTAATGTTGGACTGCATAGTAGTATAAACTGTGTTTCTCTAAAATTAACACGAATGTACTCTGAGCACGCTAAAAAACAGAAACCTATGCTATACTCACCCTGCCATGCAGGTACAGTTGGCTGTGAAGACGTAGTTCTCTGGTTTGTTTACTATGACCCAAGCCTCGTACACAGCAGTCTTGTGTCCTTGTCTTTGGCTAGGAAGGACTTCTGCCTTCAAGACGCAAAACTCAGAGTCTATGTGGTGATATTTTACTTTCTGTACGTGGCCACAGACAACATAGTTGCATGCATCTAACCATTTGTATGCCCGTAGCTTCTCACGTGTGTACTTACTGGGCCTCTCCACTAAAAACGTATATATATCAGGCCACGCACCTACATCTTCCACCCATTCCGTAATGCCACAGGGATCCGGGAGTCTGTTGCCATTCGTTAAAGTGAGTTTAATAATATAACATTCATTTGCCGGTGATAACCCCGCAGCGTAGCTTGATAGAGCCTGACACAACGCCATTCTCTGTTGCCAAGCTGCGCGCGCATTCTCGCTGACGTCATATTGTTTACAAACAGTAAAAGGGTCTATATTTGGACATCTCGCCTCTGGCTGGCTAACAATGATGCAACTCTACCACTGACTCCCTTTGCTTTGCAAAGTTGATGTTTTATCTCCACAAATCACACAAGCATGGAGGAGTTCCGCTTTAACGAGTGAACGAGACACTATCGCTTCGACACTTGATCTTCATCAGAGTAACGACTAGGGATGTGTATTGGTGAAATTCTGGGGAGACGATATAATTATATATCACCATACATTCAGACAGACGTTACTAGAGTTTTTTAGACTGAATTTATTGTAGGAAAATTCAATAAACAGTCCAAACGGGTACTTAACATGTTTAACATGAAGACTCTGAACCATAACAGAGGGATTTACATTTCAATGGTAGAAACAAAACCCACCACACACGGCTGCCAACTAGTGGTCGGCGTTTGAATTGCACCAAAAGAAAGGAAAATATGCACGTTTGTATGTAAATTCTTCCAAAAATTCAATACGCTGCTTTTGAATATTGATGTAATATCGCTGGAAAATCACAATATATTGCCATATCGATATTTTCTTACACTCCTAGTATCGACCCTAATCCGTTACTCTGATGGAACAAATACGTGTAGAAACTTTAGTATCTCGTTCGCACCCATTAAAACTTTTTTCTCCCTCTGACTGCTCCAGCCTTTAAATTAAACCTGTGAAACGCTCAGCAGCAAAAACAAAAATGCATAATTTTATTATTTATTCAGGTAATGATAACTTATCACAATGGTTTGTGTCTGTTGTTGGTGCCCTTTAGGTAAAGGTAGAAAAACCATCAAAGCTCTGAAACAATGAAATGCACCGTTTCGTCCCTTATTTTTACGTAAACTTTACCGTTAGCACTTCGTTTTCCAGACTTTTCCGGACTTTCAGTTTCACATAAGGGAAGCCTGACTAATCTTTATGATTTTGGCTGTTTACGAGAAAAGTGACTATGAGGGAGTTCGTTTTCGTATGCAGGTCACAACAGGGACCGGGCTGCAGCTGCCTTGTAGATAAGCAAAACAAAAGTCACCATCTTTCTTCTAAAGAACCAAATCTTTGTCCATCATTAAGTTATTTACTTTTGCACAAAAGTACACAAACTATTTTGTAAAGATTAAAACAATGAATCCAAATCGTGACTTTTCTCTTCAGCGTTGCTTAGAAACAAAAAGAGAAGGTCGGCTGACTCACCACATCCTGATTCATCGCTTCCATCAGCGCAGTCCCTTTCTCCATCGCAGATAAAATTTCGAGCTATACATTCCCCGCTCTGGCATTTGGCTTGATCCTCTCTGCAGGGTGTAAACGGGGGCCGAGGCCCCGACACCCCAGGGCCAGGGTCGGGGCCGATGAAGGTGGTGGTAGTGGTAGCGGGGGTTGTGAAGGCTGCTGGTGTGATGATTGCATCTAAAACAAAAATATGTATAAACTTAGTAAGTCGTTTCAGCCAGAGAATACATCATTTGTATTAAAAGCTCTCATGTTTGTGGATGATTGTGACTTATTTAAAGGACTGGGGTTCATCTATACATTAGTCATTTGGGTAGATCAGTGGTCATCAAACCTGGTCCTGGAGCATGCCCTGCATGTTTTAGGCCAACCCTGTTTCAACACACCTGCTTTCAAACACCAGGCTTCTGCGGAGCTTGATGATCTGCTGCACAGGTGTTTCAACTGCTGAATCCAGTGTTGTTGCAGAGAAACAACTAAAACATGCTGGATACCAGCCCTCCTGGACCGGCCATGGAGCATGTGTAGCACTTATCCCAAATCTAAATCTGCATACTCTGTACACAGTTAGGTAGACTCCAAACAACGTAAAGGCTGCAGTCAAAATAATTCTTTACAAAAGGACCAAGCAGTTCTTTTCTGTTTTATTTATTTATGTATTTATTTTTTTTACTGTATATTTAATATTGTAAAGGATTATCTAGTCATTTGGAGCTCGGATTAGCTGTAGCACATCTATACAGAATGATTCATTAAAAAAAAGCCTTCATACAAACAAATATCTGTATTTAATAATCAGTGAGCACATTGCACATCATCCTGTTTGGAGCACAGGTGCTCTGACAGCCAGTAGGGCATCGAACTGGAACAGAAGGAGGAAGGCTGGAGCAAACTGGTCCTGGAAATTCATGAATGAGTGCAAAGTGAACAAACGTTCTGATGAAGGCTACTGCGTCGAAACGTCACTTCGTTTGCACTCATTAAAGAATTTCCAGGACCAGTTTGCTCCAGCCTCCCTTCTTCTTTATCACAGATATTTATATTCTTCTGTAAATCTGAGACGCTTTCTAGCTGATCCCACTGTGACTAGTGGTTAGCTTGTTGGTCTGGTCAAAACTCATCTCCAAACCGAGGCTGTTGAAGGAGCTAACTACTAGGGATGAGCGAGTACACCACTATCTGTATCTGTATCTGTATCTGTTCAACCAACTAAATTATCTGTGTCTGTATCTGTACTCAGAATGGGCGTGGCACAACCCGGAAGTGGGCGTGGTTTAACCGGAAGTGGGTGTGGTTTACATCAAAACATTACTTTGAGTCTGAAATTGATATGGAATGATCGGAAGTTGCTATGTTTATTGTTTATTTGAAAACTATTTACAGAGCAGCCTCAGAATAGAGATTAAATATTTTTGATCACAATAGTAAAGAAACTATTACTGAACAAGTTTTTCAATAAAATCAGAACATTAATATTTAAGTGCATGGATTAATACATCTGAACTCATGCAGTAGGAACTAGGAAATATGAAATGCTAGAACCAGACAAAACTTTATGTATATATATATTTTTTAATTTGATTAAACTGATTTTTTTCTTAACGTTCTTGGCATTTTGCCACACAAAGTTAAACAAAACAATGTTGATTAAGGTGTGTGTGTCTGAGAGAGATAGAGAGGGTGAGAGGGAGAGAGATGGAGTTAAAAAAATAAAAAACCCGACCGGAGCGGAGGTAGTGAGTTAATGCAGCACGTCAGCTCTGTCTTGTCAAATGCACCATGTAAGTTACGAAAAAAGTAACTTTAAATATTCAACTGAAAAAGAGGTGAGCTGAAGAAAACCTAGGTGAAACTGAAGAAACGTGAGCAACAGTGAAGCAATCACAGTGAGATCCGTTACTGTCTGTGTGTGTGTGCGTGGATGAGCCGGACGGACTGAGCTCCCGGCCGGCTAGAGAGTTTTGTGTGTAGGGAGGGGCGGGCGCTCTATGTGACTGGCCAATCACAGAGCGTGAAGACAATCAGTTAGCCAATGAGGATTTTCCTTCAGCACGATTACAGATATTTACGAGTTTTACTCGTTTCATGATCATATTCGTTAAAAATGCTTTATCCGTACCGGATACTCGTCTGAAACGAGTATCCGGCTCATCCCTACTAACTACAGTCAATAAAATATTATTTGGTCATAAACTTTTCAAACAAACTCACTTGAAACGATCCAGACTTTTTTAAAGAAACGGTTATTTTTCAATATATTAGTTTTGTATTGTGAAAATGATTATTTTTATATAAAAAGGCAAAATGATTTACTCATTCTCACACATGCATGCACGTACCCGCACCCGCACACACACACACACACACACACACACACACACACACACACACACACACACACACACACACACACACACAGAGCTGGAGGCTATTCAAACCAAGGCCACTCACCACAGTTGATCTCATCACTCATGTCCCTGCAGTCAGGTCTGTTGTCACACAGGTACTCCATTGGGATGCACGTTCCATCTCCACACCTGTGTTCGTCAGTAGTGCACGGTCTCTCACTGGTGGTCACTGTGAGAGAGGTGAGCAGGATCAAAACACGAAAGTCAATGGTGCACAATGCTAATATACTACATTAATGTCACATGGAAGATCAAACAACATATTTTATGAGGAAATCAACAACATCCTTCAACACAAACAGCCACGCATGTTGTCAGGTCCTCAGTGAGTACATGTGAGGGTTCAAATCCCATGTATCTCATGTATTTGGCTAAAAATGTCAGAGCAAGCAATGGCAGCAGAATGAGAATAAAAACACCATCAGAGAATGGTGAGGATAAAAAAGACTCTAGTCTTAGGAATAACCCCCAGATGTCCAGTCATAAGTTTTCTATGTGGTTCTAATTCCAATTATTGATGCTATTGGAAAATCACCTTTTATTTACTTTTTTTATTTTTTGCACACTGACTCCATTTGAACCTCTGCAGCTTTTCTCTGCATTTATAGCAGGGTGTCTGTTGACTGCATGTCCAGAGAATACAAAGTCTGTTGACTTACCATGTTTTATATGATTATATTTTAGCACTGTTTCATTATTTAATAATATTATTATTTTACTGTTTACATGATTTTATTTATTACTTATTTTCTTACTTTTGCCATTTATATTAGCTCTTTTATTTTCTTAATTTTACTCATTTTAATCCAGTGTTTTCTCTGCAGGGGCCCTCTGCCCCGGGGGCGGTGGTCGACCGTAGCTTCCTGGGCGCTCTACAGGTAGTGTTTGAGTGGAGGTGGGGGTCTATGCTGCCCCTCCTCTAAGCGCCCTGACTTAGTGTGGAAGACCTGATGCTGCCGGGGCAGACGGCTCCTCTGATGGCGTTTCCTTGCCTTACCTTGCTTGGCTCATCTGGACTCGGCCGAACATAAATTTTTATTGATTGTGTGTGTGTGTGTGTGTGTGTGTGTGTGTGTGTGTGTGTGTGTGTGTGTGTGTGTGTGTGTGTGTGTGTGCGTGTTTAGACCCAGCCACGACTCAGATATAGATATAGTGTATGTGTGTGCATATGTCTGTTAATGTTTTTAAACTGTTATGGGAATTTGGTCATTTAAATTCTATAAAGCACTTTGCTTGAAAAGCGCTTTATAAATAAAATCTGATTGATTGATTGATTGATTGACTGATCCATCACAGGATAATCTGTACATGCCAGTGTCTGAATGCTACAAAAATGTTTATTTGATATACTTCAAATATGCATTTGTATACTGGCCTATCTCAAGTCTAGTATAGTTAAAGTGATTTTTGTGCTCATGAGTTTTAATCATGTCTAAACAGCATAACTCTGCACGTGCTGACGTTATCAGTCTCCATAAAATGTGATCACGTTTTCATAATCACTTTAAATAATAATCACGATTACGACTTTCTTTCTTTTACAGAGCAGCCTTGAATTCAAATGAACATTTCTGCACAAAGATCGATTTTCTGTTTGCTTAAAAGCACAGATACACAATAACAGAATGAAACACAAAGGACTCCAGTGGAAAGAGCGAGAAAAGTGGGATGCACTGATTAAGTTGGACAATGGTGAGACGAATGGAACAAGAAAAAACAAGAGAAAAACTACTGAATTACACACACAGCACACTAGACCAAACACACACACACACACACACATCATAACCAGACAACACACTCAAACCTGACTCAACAACCTAGACAGGCTACAAACTTACAAACACACACAAAAGCTGGTTTCAAACATGAACATCAGCCTTGAAATGTTCCAGACGTTTCCTTCCGGACCATCTTGTACTAACACAACATTTGGCAGGTACTTAAAGCAGCTGCCGCCTTAAATGATCTTCTACTGGTTAGTGAGCCAACTTTGTCCATAACGCAGATAATAAATCATGGTGAAGATTATGGACAAGTGAGAAGTTGGTTTAAACATGCATTTTTAGAACGGTTGATCCTGTAACAGTGGCTGTGAAGACAAAGTCTAGACATTCTCTGGAAATGCTCGCGTAAGCCATGCCCGAGTCCTAGCTGAAACCATAAGCTGCTTGAACGCTCACGGGGAAAAGTAACATTTCTAAAACAGACTATCTCGCTGGGATGTGACTGCTGGCAACAAATCGCAAATGGCGTTTGGGAGCAGTTTTCAGAGTTTCAAAATATTTCATGAGTGTTCACAGGGGTTCTCAATTTCCTGGCGTGGGTCACAAGGTGTTGTTTCTGTGTTGGAATCAAATCAACATTTATCTCAATGTTGTTGCAAGAGTCTGGATCTATCTAGGTTTCTTCCTAACTCAGGTTTCTTTAGGGTAGAAATGTCTTACGACATTCGGAGGAGTCAGGGCCCAGTGGTAGTGAGATGTAAATCATTGGAGCAAAAAGAAAACAACAAGCATAATGATTGTGATGAAATTATGATTATTAAATCTCACATAGAATATAATAATAATATAATAATGTTGGCTTCACCATCAGCATTCAGTTCGCCTACAGGGTTTGAGTGGGTGCCAAACAGTCCAAATATCAAACCATCGGGCATTTTTCCAGGTCGGCGAACTTAAGCCTCTTTTACAACCCCTCCTTTCCACCGGAGCCGTGACGGAGCCGTCAGCAGCACGTTACTGCAGCAGCACGTCATAGCTGCTGATAGGAACGCTGTGGTTGTGGTCAACAGAACATTTTCCACCACAGCCGTCAGCAGTGCGAGTCAGCCGCGTCTCAGGAGCAGCATGTCGCGGCCCTTACACGCCGGGTCGATTTTCTACGCGCTACGCCTCTGAAACGGGTCAAGTTTGACATTTTTGGGGAAGGAAAGACAGGAAATCAAACGCAGAAACGGAGCGAAGCTTCCCGAGATTTTCAGAATAAAGAAACGTACTGCCTTCCGGTTACTTTACCATAAAAAAAAGTTATCACCTAGCTAGCGGTCTCCTTTGTTTTCCATAATGGACGACGAAATGTTGATTACTGAAGTGGAGAAGTACCCAATCCTGTTTGATCCCAGTCACAGTTTTTATGAAGACAACGTCAAGAAGGATAACGCATGGAGTGACGTATCTGCGGTTTTGGGGCAAGATGGTGAGTTTATGCTAATTATTAACGTGATTTCTTTTCTGTATGGACCTCTGTCAGTTATGCTGACGTGTGATTTTGCTAATGTCGTGTGACTTTGTGCTCTGTTGGTGACCGCTGCTCCCCTGCTGATTCGTGTCTCGTGGGAAGGGCCAAGCAGCAGCTTATGCGAGCAAGACGTGCTGCTGCAGTAACTTGCTGCTGACGGCTCCGGTGGAAAGGAGGGGTAACACATACCATTGCGTCACTACAGAGTGATAAATCCGAATTTGTGGGTCTCGTAAATGCAGCAAGGAGCAAAACGGAAAGGTGATAAAACTCGATCCTGATGCGCTTAACCTCGTAGTAATATTGCCGCATGAGCCCCTCGCCTCTGACGGCTACACGCGTGTCAACCTCGCTAATCCCTTTGGAGCGACTGTGGGAGCCCCTCCCCCCCGCAAAAGAGGGTGGTCGCGTTAGTGACGTATACTGCGCGCCGAGTGCCGGCCGGAAGGGATATAAACACAGATAAACATGGCCTCTCACTAGTGTCTTTCAACCACCTACAACATGGCAAACTGGACGGACGCGGAGACCATGGAGCTTTTGGCCGTGCGAGCGGACGTACAGATTAGTCGCCTTTTTACGGGGACGGTGAGAGACAGCCAGCTGTTCGACAGAGTCAAGCGGGACAAAAAGCAGGTCACATCAAAACTAAAGGTCCTGAAAAAGACACTTCATCAGTCTGACGTGTCTTCCGTCTGACTGCGCGACCCTGTACATCACACAGGGGGGAGGGGGGGGGGCAGCGACCTCCCTTTATCCTGTCTTGGTTTGAGAGGTGCCTGATGGCAGTTTATTCTAGCTTCAGCTTTGCTACTATAAATGCCAAAATCCTCTCAAAGAGCCGCGGCAAATCCCGTTTTGCAAACGCTACGGTCCTGATAAACCAGCTTTAGTGTCACTTATCTCCACAAGCAGTCACGGTTTATCCAACGAAATGTTCAAAATAATCAGAAATATTAAAAATAATGGATTCTATTATTGGTGTTTGAGACAGTTGGAATTATCTGAAAACAGCATCAACCAGTCAAAGCTTGACAAGAACCAGAAACCAGTGTGAGTCTTTCAGCTGCAGCCCAGTGAGATGCTGACTGAATTGTGCTCTTGCCATGCAGAGGTCCTCCGTGTTCTTGGTGCACTTTTAAACTTCTGTGTTCCCATGCAAAACATTCCCCAAACCACGAGTACATGTCAGAGTACCGGAGCATGATAAAGCGTCAACACAACGAGGGAGCTAATGTTTCTACGGTTTCTACAGTGCAGTCAACTCAAATCACCACGCAGCAGGCATGGTACGGTACAAACCTGGCACCGCTATAGGGTCCACTGAAGGAAGATATTCTACTAGAAACCAAGGGGAGATTTTGAGGAAGCTGCTAGATGTTCTGATGGACCTTGACTTGCTGAAGGAGATCTTACAGTTCCTACCTGTTCCAAGCCTCCTGAACTCAAACCCCTGGACTGATGTGACGTAGGAGGCGATGGTTCCCTCGTTCACCACGTCGTAGAGCACCCTTCGGATCTGTTCTTCATTGTTGTTGTTATCAGAACCTACGTCCAGCTCCACAAACACATCAACGCCGTCCTTCCTAATTAATTTCCTGTGAAAGAGCAGGAAATGCAAGATGAGGCTGGAAGCTGGGTGGCAGTACAGCAAAGATCTTCCGTTCCTCTGTAGATGTTCCTCACTAATTGCTGATGTATTACCAACCACAATCTTACTTGATTGCCCGCGTGTGGTTTGAAAAATAACGTGCCAAGAAAAGGACAAGCAGGCAGTAGCAGCACTCAGCTGCAGGGCATCTACTTACGGTGTCAGCAGGCATCTTTTCAAAGATTTGTGTTCTTACTTAATGAGGACCACGTTGACCGTCTGGACACCTGGAATCTTGTTGTACTCCGACTCCAGCTGTGGATGGGAAACTACACTCAGATGAACAAGTCTGGGCACTATTTTCAGACCAGCTCACACACATCCAAAACCATAAATAACACACAAGGACCTTATAAGGTGAGACCTACCGTATCCATCACTGCCTCTGAAACATCCTTAAAATCTGCAGAGTTGATGTCGTCAAGTTCAGGGCTGTACACCACAGAGTCGGTGAAGTTGACAAGAGCTCTGTAATACACTGGAGGGGAGGGGAAGCTGTCAGCTCAAGCATACAGTAACAACAACCAAATCACCAGTGGTAGTTGGGTTCAAATACCAGAAACCAAATTACAATCACTACATGTGATCTGATGCTGGTTGGCATTTGGCTAATTGTTTCAGAAAGTTTAACTGAAGCATGAATGTGGCTTAGACTAGAGCCACAGACAAATTATGGTATCTATTTTAATATCTCAGTTGTAGCTGAGTCTACACACACACACACACACACACTTTCACTGACGGTGACAGGTATCTTTAGTCCTGTATGTGGTAACTACGGTATTTTTGATTTGCTAAACAGAAACATCTGCATTGTTAATGCCTCTTGAATCTGATAAAGGACTATGTATTAGATTGATACAAGCAATACGATTGTAAGAAAGAGAAACCGCTTTGTTTCTGCAGACTATGAAGTCATTGACCTACAACCAGGATGCTTTCTTTCTGAGAGGTGTTTTTAAAGAGCAAGTCACCCCCAAATCAACTTTTTTTGCCGATAAACTAAATAAACGAGTGTCTAATTGTGCTGCAGACACGTGTAATCAATAATTTGGCACTTCAGTGCATCTTAGTTCAAATTTAAATATTCTGCTTGAAACTGGCAGTGTTGTGCCGTTGTCAGGTAAAAACTCTGCACTGTATTTGAATTTAAATCTGCCACCGCTATTGGCTAAGAGGTATGCTATGATGTAAACTGGTACATTATGATGTCACAATGCTGTCGTGAGCCTGTGTGTGTGTGTGTATTTGTTAGCGGCTCCGCCCTCTCGGTCTGCCTGGCAACAGCATTTGCTGCATTTTTCACACATGAAGCGGGAGTGAAGTTAGACTCTGGTAGGGGGTGACTTGCTCTTTAAGCTTATTTGCATGGGGCGAGTTTGCAATGACAGAACTGGAAAAGAATTAGGGATGCAACTATACCACTTTTTTCCAAACCGATACAATACCGATACTTGGATTTGAGTTCTCGCCGATGCCGATTACCAATACCGATTCTTCTACCACACAAAAAAATGCAATGATTTGGAATACAGATTTTATTTTCTCCTTTGCTTTCAACAGGAAAAGACAGTGAGTTAGGTAAAAAGTAAAATATATGAATGGAAATCATCACAAAACTAAAATATTAGGTGAACAGAAATGACAAGTTACAGGGAAGCCATTTTCAAGCAACTGCATTGGTAGCGGTTCCTGGTATCGGTTAACTTTTACCGATACCGATACCAGTATCGTATCGGTGCATCCCTAAAAAGAATGACTTTTTTTGTCTATTCTTCACCAAATAAATGTGAGATTTATTCAATGTTATGGTTGATTAATCAGAAATAATTTTATATCCCTGCATGAAGTGCAGCTGCCGCTGTTTGCGCTGCAAAAACCTCAGACTTTAGTTCAAATCTGAGAAAATGGCATTCATAAAAGTTTATAAAATGCTGTTGGGATAAATTATTTTGAGATTGGGGATGCTATACAAATGGAAGACACACCTTTAGAGAATGGTCTAAAACCTTGAAGAATGACAGACATCCAATCAGTTTTTAGAATATCCTGCAGGTATACAAGACTGAGACTGAAGAACATAGTTAGAAGTTAGTCAGCATCAGCACCGTGCCAGCAGCTGCTCAGGAGGGACTCTGGAGGGGGGCCTCTACATTCCCTCCACATGTACCAAGTCAAGCAAAGAAGGTGAGAGAGCAATGAAGGGGATTACTGCAAGGGTCCAAACAAGCTGTGTCAGCTGGTTGAATGTTTCAGACTCAGACACAAGCTGCACGTGGTTTTTGCTTTGTACAAAGAATGAAGTGATGTGAAGAAAGTGAAAAATGTTTCTAGCAGCATCATTTGTGCATTCATACCCCTGGGAAATTTTCACTTAGTTACTTTTATTCAACCACCAAGTTATTGTTTGACAGGAAATGACTTAGGTGTCTGCCAAAAGATAGTAAGACAATGTGCAAGAGGCATTGTTGTGGTCAAAAAATGTGTCATGTCCAAGATTATTTATACCCTTCAATCACCGTCAGACTCTGGGAAAACCCAAAGTTCTAAACCATTCCAGATAGTCCAAGCTGTCCTAAAGCATCTTAATTGGGAAAAGCTGTTTTAATCAACTCCACAGGTGAAAAACAGCAGACATTACACTTTTTGCTCAAATGTAAATAAAAGCTGAGACATTTTTTGGCAACAACAAGGCCGCATGTACATTGTCTTACTATCTGCTGGGAGACGCCTATGTCATTTCCCGTCAAACAAGAACTTGCTGCTAGAATTTGCCAAGGGGTATGGAATAATTATGGGCAGCACTGTACATCTGGACTTGTGGCAGTCAACTCTGTAAAAAAATAAGGAAAGAATACACAATTTCTATTTTTCTTATTAAAAGGAAAGGAGTGATTCATGACATGAACTTAACTGAACACTGAACACTAAAAGCATTTAGCAGCGATCCAGTTTTGAATAGCTGCTACAGCTAGCCGCTAACAGTAGCCGGGCCATTCACATAATCTAACCCCTAATTCACGCTGGACGCACCACGGAGTGGAACGGCAGTGGAGCATCGCTGCTTCAAATGGAATCCATTATTGTCTATGGGATTGATTCAAACCAGACACGGAAATTTTCAGGCGCCTACCAGACGCCAAAGATAAGATCGGGTTCTATTTTTTTCACAAGCCGCTTCTGGGACATGTCAATTTCCACAGTTAGCATTGGGATAAACAGGAAATCACACATGGTTTCAGTGTCAAACCTCAGGTCATTTTCAAAATAAAAGACTATTGCAGCGATGCAATTTCATATCTATGTAGATTACTTCTATACATGTCACCTAATGGCTGTTTTACTGCCAGCATCGTTCAACAAGTGTGACTATGTGTTTTTATGGCTTTAATCCCGGCAGTGGAGAGGAACAACATCTAACAGGACATCAAACAGCAATATCAAACGTGACTTCCTTCTTTTTGGTTTTACAGCAGATGGCCTAAAACAAACCGTGACCTTTGAAGCCTCAAGGGATTTTGTGACCTCGCGAGTCAAGCGAGGAGCATGGCAGAGAAGCCACTGAGATTCTCCTGGTGTGTACTGGCATGCAACGAAACTCGCAAGTAAGCCGCTCTCCTGCTGCTCTGCTCTGCTGATGCTTCCAGTGTGAAGTACAGCTAAGCTTAAACAAATCCTGTTAAAGCTACTTTCATGATTTGGTCAACAGAATATAAAAGGCATTCCTTCAAAGGCCTTTCATTTAAAATAAGAGACTGGTTATGTCAGAATTTTCCCCCTTCTTGTTCATTTTTCACACATACTGTACATCCGGGACAACTGATTTATGTACATTAACGTTCTCTTTCCCAATGAAAAAAATGTTCTGCTTTATTGCATCCTTCAAATATGAACAATCTCCCTACGATGTTCAAACTGGCTGCAAGTGATCAACATAAATGTTCTGGAAAATGAGCATTCATAATTGGCTTTTATAACCCCATCAAAAACAAATTATGGACGGTGACATTTTAAAAGGATTAACGGTTTCCAAAGTTGTGTAGACTGACTTTTTTTTCCCATCACAAACTTGAGCTAATTACTTTTACCACACCAGGTCCAAACAGGCTTATAGACGACCTGTCTAATACAAACTGACAAACGATATGTGTAACTCATTATAAGCCCAAATGTCAGCTGTATTAGTAGAATTCCAATGTCACAGGCCAAGTCTATGAAACCTAAAATAGACCAGACCTGCAGGGTGCTCTATGCAGCCAGCAGTCTGTTGGGCCTGCCTCTGAACTCAGGCCAGTCGTGGGACGTCTGAGAGAAGGTCTGTTTGCTCTGTTTCTTAAAGCTAGATGCTGACGGTGAGCCAAAAGGAACCGACCCGTAACCATCTGCTAAGCTGCTGGTTACCAAAAAACTGGCCTAAAAATGTTTCTGATTGTTGCATCCTGTCTGAGGCTGTATCTTCAGAAGGATAAACTCATGTGCTTTAAATATTATTGCCTTCAATACTTTCAAACTGTGAGAGCTGAATTCTAGCAGATTTATTTTCCCATTTAGTTCCTTTTAAAGAGCGACTTATCCCTGAATAAAGAGTGACTAATAGTACAGTAGACACATGTTATTTATAATTTTATAATTCAGCCTAAAACTGTCAGTATTGTGCCCTCTTCACATGAACTCTGCACTATATTGAATTTGACTTAGTCGTCATTTGACCCAATGACGTTGCTGGTACCCAGGGCTGGGCGATATGCACCAAAACTTAGATCTCAATATCTTTTTGCTGAATTCCGATATACGATATATATCTCGATATTTTTCCTCATGTAAAATATTTACAAGTTAACTCACTTCAAGCTGTCTTGAGAAAATTTATACATAAATCGTTAGATTAAATACATAAAAATGTATTGATTCTTGTCTAACTTTAACCTTAGCGCCTATTCTCTACCAGTCTGAGCTTTAGAAACGCAAGTACAACTGTCTGTTGCACACACACACACACACACACACACACACACACACACACACACACACACACACACACACACACAGTTGCGAGCTAGAGGTGTGTCAAATGTCCCACAGGCACTTTTTAATTATATATTTATAATTAATGTAAAATTATTTAAATTTCATCTAGAGGTGGCCACATCATTTATTTCTTGTCCAGAGAAACTAAAATCTATCACGTTAAGCTAAATGTATGATGATGTAATTGCATCTACTGAAGATCACATGGGTCATGCACCCGTGGAGTTATTAGTTATCAGAGCAAACATGGCTGGACTCTAACAGTATTGGCTCATATCAGCGATTACACTGTAATGACTCAGAGTCTCTGGTTGCTCTTTATGAGTATTATTTTTGGGCTACTGCCGCCGTAACCCACGCCTTACAAACTCTTCACTTTTTCAACAGAATCGCTCGTAACGGAATATTTACTAGCAAAGCAAACCAGAGCGGAAAAAACTGAACAACATT